ATCTTACAAGGCTGAATACAGAGGTGTGTGTTATTTTACAGAGTAACTGACCTACTCTACAGGCCATGACAGGTGGTAAAAGTTACCGATGTAACAAGGACACCATCACAGATGGTGCCCCAACCTCATGGAATGACCCACTTACAATGTACATGAGGTGTACCCATAGTTGAGGTGCTAAATGTTGTGTACTTGTGCATCGGAGAGTAGTTCATGTTGTACCCTCTTTTTTCGAGTAACAAATAAACTTGACAGCTTCAAACGTGCTGCATCATCAGCATCCAGTTTACATACTGTCAAGCGTGATTTTCTGTCAGTCATATTTTGTGGGTGTTGGTCAAAAGCCTCAGAGTTCTGTGTCGTAAAGACGCATTGATCCGTGAGCTGTTGTAATCTAAAGATCTGCCCATCATATTTGCACCTCTTCCTCTTTCCATTTGGTTCTGAGCCCATTCCATTGTTAGCATTATTAGGTAACCTGTCCACTTCTTTAATGATTGACCGGTGTGGTAAGGCCAGACCCACTGACAATGCAGGTACACAGTGCTTTAGCTGGAAATGGGTTGCGATTAAAGGCATCCTTCCTCTCCAATCCGTTGGACTTCCTGTGATTTGGAAGTTCATTCAGCTTGGCCTCGTTTACACTAGCTCTACCGGTAGTTACAAAGAAAGTTGACCAGACCTTGACATTTTGTGCACACTGGTGCAGGCAATCCGGCTGGTGTAAAAAAAAAGTTGCATTCAATCATCGGTGATAGGTGATCTTTTTTTTTTAAACTTGTCGAGTCATTACAGACTGTAGATACTATCCTCCCTCTATGTTTGAAAGATGAGAGGGATATTGCTGGTTAAGGAAAACATGTTGGGGTACATGTACTTGGAAGTCACAGTCTAGCATTGTAATTTGGTATTTTTATGCTGTGCTTGCTGTTTCAGGGGGAAAAGAACCAAGGCTTCGGATGTCTCTACCATAACATGAAACATGGGCAGATATCCACCAGGGAACTTGCCGACTTCATCCGAGAGCGGTAAGATGCCGACCCATATTCGTCCATCCGTGCTCAGTTTTGACAGGGACTGCCAGCAAAAGCTGGTTTGCAAACACAGAAAACAAACAACTTGACATCAAAGCATTCAAAATAAAACTTTTGTACTTTGGCACTCCACAGGACTACATGTACATGTACATATGCAGGGAAGGTATTAATGGCATTTCAGTGGGAGAGAGTCGTGAGGGGGGAGGGGACAGGTACTAGTAGGCCAAGAGCTGAATGCATACGATAGTTCAAAACAAGGTCAAATGGGTGTATGAAATTGAAATAAGAGGAAAAATCGGTTTAAAATTACAAGCTTCACATTTTCCGATATCTACAGGGAAGCTTCTATTCTATTTCAAATACATGTATATAAGCGAACCGGCTGTCTTTATTTGATTCTAGAAAAGAATTTCTGTTTTCACTGTAACGAATCCTACACATTACGTGCAAACACGTGTATAGAATGAACTGGCCATGTAATCACCTCTCCGGTGACACAGGTCTACATTTGAATTAATGAACAAAACAATCTATTTGTGGAAACACATTTTAATATTTGTTTTGTTGTGAAAGGTATCATCAAAGGCCTAATTGTTAGTCTGTAGTTGTTTTAAGGAAATCTATTGGTTTAACTTGACCATGGTTTTTTACCAAATTTACAAACATGATTAAAGATTTAATGATTTTGCTCAATAGTATTTTCCATTGTACATGTATTATACATGTAGTTTGATGCCTGGCTTAGCTAACACCCAAACCAGGAACCAGACAGGTGACAGCATAGCATGGTCGGCCTATAGAGTATGTGCATAAATGTACATGTACGTGGTGGTAGCAGCGGGTTATGCTGTTTGCACCGTGTACTGGGTAATACATGCACATGAGCACACGACCAATTGTTCAGTACACATGGGCATCCGTAGACTGAGAATGCCTGCATTCACAGTCCACAGAGGAAATTGGATATACTGTACATGTACGTCCAACGCTGGTGGTGCACTTTGTTTTGGTTCCACCCTCTCTCCCCCTTCCCACCTACCGAGTCATGAATACACTTTATAACATTGTGTTGGAACCTTCATGAGGCACGCATGCTGTGACTGGGTGAATTGAATGCCATCGTTCTGTTCAAACTGCTATTGAATGCAAAATGTTCATTTCTGTTTGTAAATGAAAGGTTGAGGTAGCAGGTGGGAGGTAACTTCATGCCGTGGACATCGATCACATTTTATTGATGCTTTCAGTGTTGACTTTACATCTACAAGTATGCCAGTACGTATGGACTTTCACACACATCAAATGCGCGCTTAAGTTACACCTGAAGGTCTGTTTGCAGAATACATATATTTCAGTTCACATATTAACCAGGTTATACAGGTGCAAATCAATGGTTAGGGCCCAGTTAAACATCAACTCATTTTTCCGGTCAACTCTCTAATTACGATTTGCTCACTAGAATGTAAAAAAAGCATGGTGCATTGCACATTATGCCATGGTTGGAAGCCAACTTGCATGTAAACACGCACACCAAACCATGTACATGTTAGGTCACAACCCAGTGGTTTACCAATTCTAGTCAAGACCAGATTGAACATGATCAGCTCAATTCCGAGTCAACCCTGTAAAACAACACAACCGTGTAAACTGAACAGGCTCACATGCACTGTACAGTATGCCTGTTGGCACCAGGGTTGAAATTCAGTACATACATTGTACACAATAACATGTACATGTACCACAAATTACACACACCGGTATGTTGATGTGTTACTTGACTCTCTCCAGATTTTAACTGAGAATAATAATGTTGCACACGTGTACATATTTTGACCCTAGCATTGTGCCGGTAAGCCACCTTGCAAGTTAAGTTGCAACCAGTTGGACTCCTGGATGACAGAATACCGGTAGTTGCAAGGTCTTTTTAAATAGGATTCAAAAGGTCCTCTAGTCGGCCATCCTGTTCATCGTCTGTAAGGCACACTACTTAGGATGCCTTTTGGCATCATTTTCACAGGTCATGCCTGATGTTTTTTGACCTACATGTACATGCACATGTACTGTTTACATTGCAATTGTCAACTTGTACTGTGTGATGAAACCACACTATGGCAGTAGCGCTCACCAGCACCAACAGTCACAGACATTTTTTTCATGCTATCCAACTACCAAGTGTTACAGGCCTGTGAGCATTCCTTCCTCCATGCTTACACCCATGCACCTACCACAGAGCTATTAGATGGTATCAGCAACCTTCTGTTTTCATTCCTTGTTTGTGGTGGTCTGTGTATCAATACATCATTTGGCACTGATACATGGAAAAGTACCGGTTACATTTTTCCTTATTTCATGTGAGATGCACAATGTTCACTACACATGTACATGTACACGTACATGTACAGATCTCTACATACTGTACATGTACATGTATACTGCAGACACTGCCATCTCTTAATACATGCATCATATTCATATACATTGTAGGTGCATATAAACCACCCAGCGACACCTAATATATAGGTTGTCATGTTAAAAGGTGTAATTTTGAGATTGAAAAAATTGACTGTGGTGGAGTTTGGACCTGTAACCTCCAAGTCGCAGCACAGCTGTTCTACCAACTGTGTCTTCTTGTCCTGTGATGGTATTCTCCATCTGAGAGGTACTTGTCAGAAGCCATAATCATTTACTCAAAGATGAGGAATTTGAGGACGTGCATACTGTAGCTGTGTGTTCATGCTGTCTGTAGTTTGGGGAGGGGGAGGGTTGGGAGGAGTTGTTCATCCCAGCACTAGGCAGTTTCTCCAATGAGTAATCCATGTGAAAGGACTGTCATTTGTTCACTCGGGCCAATGTGGTCAGAGAGAGGTATTATGAAAAGGGGAACCATGGGTTTACAATCCCAAAGTATGGTACAAGTTGATGCCCAGTAATTTTGATGTGTTGACTGCTGATTTAATTTTGGTGTGTGACTCATGGGACAGTCATATTACCATCACATTAGGGATGAATGCACCTTCAGATTGTGACAAGGTCTACCTGGAATGTGGTTTGTGCCAATTGTCATATGTGTGACATTCTGTTTGCTTTTTTTTTTTAAGTTGAGGAAAGGAAGTAAAGAAATTGGATTATCGTATCAGGTTTATAGTGTGTGCTGTACTGGTGTGTGATTGACATGTAGGCACTATGAAGGGTCCAGTTACCGTGTAATGATGTTGGGAAAGCTTTCCTTAATTAACGAAATTTTGGTACACCGTGCCAATGCAAAGTTAAGTTCACATGAAGGCATGAACATTAATGTTTCCATATGCATACTGTACAATGTACATGTACAGTTCATGAACATGCACCGGTATACATTTACATTTGTTCCTTAACACGCAGTTACATGTATAGTATACGTGTGCACAAAATTCTACCCAATACACAGGACATGTACAGTACATGTATGTCACTCACTACTTATGCATTCCCCACAGTTCCTAAATATGTACATGTGTGCCTCGTCCTGTGTGGGTGGTGTTTCCATGGTATTTCAAGACAATTTATATAGAAAATGTTATCTGAATAATCAGTGTCCCTGACAAATGTGTTTATGAGCATGATGACGGACAGTTTGGACGCCACGGTTGATTTACACGTACACTAATATTCCTTGCCTGTCGTTAAATGCGCTACCAGTAGTCTCATTCAGACGGTTACGTTTATCGTACGTGTGTGCAACACATTATGTACTGAACCCTCCTCCAAATGTACTAGTATAAGATTTGTCATTCATTACTGGTACGAGAAGGGAGCATTGGGTAACTGGTACATTTTTTTAGCCAGTGTATGGGCCTGTACTTGTAGCTACATGTGTAGCCCAATTTTAACCCATCTCACAAATCTTGAATTCTCCATACCCGGCTCCATTTTTGTTACACTGCTGATGTATTTGTATTGTGTGTATTTGTTCATTCAGAATGGTCCTTCTCATGAAAACATTGACAAAAACTTGTTTTTTAAGTTACGTCATGTATGTGTGCAAAACATCTTACATACATGTATGCTGGTGGATGTACCTGCACATGTACATGTACCTCAGGTCTGCTCCAGGTACCTGTACATGTAGGGTGTCCAGGTAGATACATGTACAGTACATATAGGGTTTCTAGGTAGATACATGTACATGTAGGGTTTCTAGGTAGATGCATGTACATGTAGGGTGTCCAGGTAGATGCACGTACATGTAGGGTTTCTAGGTAGATACATGTACATGTAAGGTGTCCAGGTAGATACATGTACAGTACATGTAGGGTTTCTACATGTAGGTAGATACATGTACATGTACATGTAGGGTTTCTAGGTAGATACATGTACATGTACATGTAGGGTGTCCAGGTAGATACATGTAGGGTGTCCAAGTACATGTACATGTAGGGTGTCCAGGTAGAAACATGTACATGTAGGGTGTCCAGGTAGAAACATGTACATGTAGGGTGTCCAGGTAGATACATGTACATGTAGGAAGTCCAAGTACATGTGGGTGTCCAGGTAGATGCATGTACATGTACATGTAGGGTGTCCAGGTAGATACATGTACATGTAGGGTGTCCAGGTAGAAACATGTACATGTAGGGTGTCCAGGTAGATACATGTACATGTAGGGTGTCCAGGTAGATACACGTACATGTAGGGTGTCCAGGTAGATACACGTGCAGTACATGTAGGGTTTCCAGGTAGATGCACATGTACATGTAGGGTGTCCAGGTACAGTGTACATGCATACATTCGCATTGAAAGTTTACAAAAAAACATGTACAATGAATATACAAAAGATTGTAGGTTTGCCTAATACAGTGTGTACGTGTACAAGTACATGTATGTGCATAGCAAATACCGGTGCATGTATTCTGATTTTGTACGTACATGTATACATGAACAGCAAAGCACATGTTCATGTGACTTGCAAAGCTACATATTTAAGAACACACTCTGTACATGAGAATGCAACCATGGGTAGTGCACATTTGTTGAGAACCTACAGTTCTGACACTACGGAATGACTAATATACTGTACATGTATCGCTGTTTGCAGTTCTGAATTATTCATATTATTTAAAATTTCATGATGCAGATCTTACTTGAGTATGCACATGTACCAATACGTTTGCATTCTCCCCACATGGTAATCCATCAGTGACCATGCACACCAGTAGGCAATCTGTATGGAAACTGAATAGGATTTATAATTAGTATGTATTACATACGGTAATTCCGGCACCTGTATACATGTATGGCTCGTACATGTATGGTAGATGTACTGGGTACAGGTGCATCAGGGTAGTGAATGTGCAGTATGAAACCAGGAATAATGTATTGCTGTAAAGCATGACCAGCACGGTAGAGCTACATGTACATGTACATTACAATGTATTGTAAATATACTGCCCAGTACTGCATCATGGGGAACATTTCTCAGCTTCGTCAAATTTGAAACGGGGTGAGAGGACTTTTGAATGGCCTGCACCATAAGACTGAATCTATTCAAGTAATTGAATATTTGACCTTCCATTTCTGATTTAATTGAATATTTAAATATTTGGTTGTACCAAATTGCCGCAGATAAAAATGTGTTTTTACAAAGTAAAGGGAAAGGGACTTGAGGGAAAAATATGTTTAGTTTCATTGCTCGGCATTTCCATAAAAGTTAAGTTTATTTAAAATGTGCTTTTCAAATGCAAGTTTGAAACAAAATAGACTAATTTTATTTTTTGTTTTGCTGATTTTCTCCTTCCGAATATTCAGTTTCAAAAATAGTTGATGTATCAATAATCGATCATATATCCTAATATTTGAATGATTGGCACGGTCCTACCGGTACCGGTATTTCTTTGAACAGTCATAACCCCCACAAGAAGTGCAGAAAAAGTGCAGTACCTGTACCTGTACATGCATGAATGTACGTGTACATGTATGTTACAGGACACGTGCATTGTGATGTTTAAAATAATCCTGAATTTGACTTAATGGCATTTAGGCTCTTAAAAAAGTTGATCAATCAACACAAGTACATGTACCTTACTGGTGAGTTCAGGATGTGTGTGAATCCATGTGTTTATGCAGTACCCAACAAAATAGATCAACATGTGTACATGGAGATCCCATCAGTACCCAATACATTTGGAGGCACGAGGTAAAGTAGAACTTTCCCCTTGGCAGACTTCCAAGAGTTTTTCTTCCACTTCAGTACGAGAGGCAAGCATTCTATGGAGGCTGAATACAATGTAGTTTTTCTACTTCAGTTTTTGCTCCACATGTTTCTGACATTTACTAAAAATTTGTCTTCTGTTTATTTTTCAGAGCTGCAATTGAGGAGGTCTATTCTAAGAGTATAAGCAAGTTGGCCAAGACAGCAAGTAACAGTTCCTGTCTTGGGTAAGTTTGTCTCATCGTGTAGCATGGAAAGACGTTTTTTGTATTGGGGTAATTCTGTGGGAAACAGACTGACTGGTTGCGAGGGATTTTCACAGTGTATCCTATTCTATCATATGGTGTTGGTAAGCATAGTAAGTTGGGACCTCAACTCTAGTATTTGTTTCTTCCGTGGAAGTATCCCACGATCACAGATTTCTTTTAAAATTTGGCCTGTGCAAGGATCAGGTAAAGTTATATGTTGCCATGGTAACAGACTAACTCCTTGGGTATAAATGAGGAGTAGAACTCATTAAGCTGACAAATGAAAAGTATTCATGCATGCCAAATGTCGTACAGATAGGGCCTAGCTATCTTCTTTTTTTTTTTATAATGTTGGTTGTTTTTCAACAACACTGCTGTCACTGCATTGTCCGATATTTTCTGTGAAAAACCTAAAACTGAAATCTGGCATTACATTTGCACAGATTTGCATGTTTGAAACAGTACCATAAAATCCCTGAAACAATACAGTTTTATTTTATGCTGTTGAAAGATCATGTCCTTGAGACATCCAGACCCTGCAACTGTGGAAGCCAGCACCCATGTTTTCCAACTCGGCCAACTGTTTTTTTCAGCGATTTATAACGATTTGCTTTCTCTTTCCAATGCATCTCTCCGTAGCACATTTGCACCATTCTGGCAACTGATTAAGACTGCCACTGACAAGCTAGCCGCTGCCCATCAGAAGCTGATTCAGAAGCTGCAAGACGTAGTCAAGGATGTGCAGAAATATGGAGAGGAACAGCACAAGAAACACAAAGCGGTAATTTAACCCGTTCCCTTTTATGTACTCCATTCATAGTTTGGCTCCTGATGTTGCATGGGGCAAGGTCAAGCATTGGTCACGAAGGGTCGATTCTGCCTGGTACACAGGATACATTTTGTGCATAAGTTACCAGGGAGAATTGACTAGTGGTCAACGAATGGTCCTCGCTGGAACTTGGCCATACTCAAAGCCTTGGACTCCCGTTTGTGGCCAAGTGAGTGCCCATCTTAGCATAGGATGACACAGTTCCTGTGCACGCATTTGGTGCGGAATGTGCCTGACTTATTTTAATTAGAATGTGCACAAATCTGGCAGGGTCTTCACGTGGGCACCAGGTGCATGGCCAGCTGTAAACTGCAGGAGTTCACACAAGCCTTAACTTTGGACACTGGCGAGGGGGTCACAGATCCCATCTAAGATGCAAGAGTTGAAGGCTTGAAATATCTTCCAGATCTTTCTTGGCATTGTGGCATACCCTGATGCCCAACTGAAGAGTAATTTGTTACTGATGCTGATGGTTAACTACCGTATAGTTCAGCCAACATCGCCCAACTGATGGATGGATTTGATCATTTAATTGAACATTTGGAACGATGACTGAGGGCATGGACTGCTGGTCATCAATAGCTAATTTAATTTTTCATTAAGGAGGGAACCATGTAGGAGATGTCAATGACTGTGAATGCTGCAAGAGTTGCAGCCAATGGCAAAGTGTGGGTGACAGTGAGATTTTACTAAATTGATCAACGAAGGCCATGTGAGGGTGACAGTATTGCATGTTTACATATTAAAAAGCAGTGGACTGGTGGTAAAACTATAGTTTGCATCTGAACTTGCCCGTTGATGGGGTTTTGTGCAACATCTTGACTATTTACATTTTATGATAACGACTGTCATGACCTAGACCCAATTTTCAGAAAACATCGATAAGTCCATTTTTCCTCTAGCAAGTTGACTGATAGCTTAGTTTTGCTCAGCAAATCAGTACTGCGCTTTGTAAAATTCCACACTTTGCAGCTCGGTGAAATTGTTCCCCTAGGTAACTCTGCACCTTGTGGATTCCAACTCTACCCTGCCGGGATTGTAATGCATGTGTCCTTGGGCAAGACACCGTCGTTGATTGCTTCCTTCCCCAGTTCAGGAGTAAATGGGTACCCTTGAGAACAGTGATGGTTTCTATGTTGCAACGCCAACCTTGCTGAAATGACATACTCTCAAGAGGGTTGAAATAGCCCAAGTAATGGCTCAATTTCCTGACAAACACGGATGATGATGATTTAGTGCTTTCAGCATTTCTCATGATGATGTAGTTCTTTGAGCATTTTGACTCTAATGGATACGCATGCCTCAAACAATGCTCGTTAATAAAAACATACAATGTCTGCATTTCTTCAAAAGACTCGGGCACTCAGGTAAGCAGCAGTACCCAGAAAATGATGGAATTTGATAGCTGATGTAAAGTTAAAATAAGACAGATGCATTTGTCCAAATTGTTTGAGAATCATTTTTGACATTTAGAAAGCATTTGTTATCAAATATGTAACATCACTGTTGGCTGTCTTTGCGGTTTCTCCATTCTGAGAGACACCAGTAAATTCAAATTACACTTTAAACAAAAAGAACAGCTGCACTTAATCATTTCTTCCTTACTTCTCTATAGATCAAAGGTGAAATTCAGTGCACCGCCGACGTTGTTCAAAGTCTACAGACAACAACAGACTTGCTCAACAAAGCCAAAGAGCTGTACAACACACGGTGTATCGAGTATGAGAGACTCAAGAAAGAAAACGCCAGCACTAAAGAACAGGAAAAGGCGGAGGCCAAATACAAAAAAGCAAGTGAGTACACCTCAAGAAAAGTTAGCAGTCAACGGATAATAGTGAAGCCATTAGTGTCACGGCACACCGCATGCGCACACATCTTTCAGTCATGTCAAATGCCCCCTTGACAAGTAAGGATGAAGTGGATTTCCAAATGGATACTTGCGTCATGTTTAAGAACAAACACATCGTGGCATTGTGGTACCACTGCGGCAAGAGCGCCCTCTGGGATTAATCTATAATTCCTGAAGAACGACAGAGATGAGGTTACACTGTACGTGAAAGAAAACAAAGGACGACGCCATGTAATTTGGCTGTAGTTAAAATAGATCCACAGTCGTTCAACCTTGATTACCTTCTACAATAAGAAATCTACAGAGATATCACGTCACTGGACTAAATACAAGTACAAGTGTCCCTTTGAAATGTTGCTTACGTACTGCACCTTCATCACTGATTGGTATGCTGTGTAGAAATAAACATAAACGATAACTACGTGATGAGGTTTTTGAGTGAAAGCACTCAGAGGACATTTGTGCGATGTTGCTTTTCTTTTTCTCTTTATTTCAGTGGAAGATTACAAGATGTACGTTGAGAAGTATGCCAACCTGAGGGAAGATTTTGAAAAGAAGATGACCAAATCGTGTCAGGTGTGGACTTGTAAACTTATCTTTGGATTGGTTTCCCTGGAGATCATTGTGTAAATAAGAAAAGTTAACAGTTGTCACCCCCTGTTAGTTTAATTGACCTTTTGCCTGAGTATGAGTACATGATATGAGCGCTTCACAATAGTGCGCCTCCACAAGTTTGCAACGCGTTGGCCAATCACAGTACGCAAAATCTGTGGACCCAATGCTCGTTTGGAAAGGTTTTGCGTATTGTGATTAGCCAATGTGTTGCAAACTCTTGGAGGCCCACTATTATGAATCACCCATATTAAAACTAGTTTGTTGACTTTTTTAAATCCCTGCTTTGTTCACATTTCCCTGGGAGATGCCTCTAAATGTCACCCAATATCTGCTCCCTTCCTAAATAATTTACCTTTTTTGTTGATCTTTTAGCAATTACAATCCATCGAGGAGGGCCATTTACAGCAGCTGAAGGAATTTATCAAGCAGTACAACGGAGCACACCGAGAATGTGGGACAAGTGTAGAGCAGGTATCGTCATGTAGACGGTTCTCTGATTCACCTGTGCCTGTTTTATTTATTTCATCCTGCCCACAGTAATGCTGGGGTTTCCCTGTGCGGACACTTTACGGGCACTGTACACCCTGCATATTTTCAAAGCTTATGAAATCAAACATTCGTGGGTCTGACAGAGCATAGGACTCGAACCCACAACCACTTGCTCGTTGGTATGAATGTCTTACCACTTGGCCACCAAGCATGCCAGGGCTAGCAGGCCGGTTCAAAGTCCACGTTCCAGTGCAGTTATCTATGAAGTCAATATGGAATATCTGAGGTACAAATATATTTTGCTGAGTGACAACGTCTTACTAGCTGAAGAGAAGTGTTATTTTTACACACAATCTGTGTTTGATCATGGTAGCACCGACAGTGACGTTTACTTCAAGGCAAAAATTTCATCAAGATCCATCTATCGATACCATAACCCTAGATGGATGGAACTTCAAACAAAGCCCCAACCCCTTGATCTTTGAGGTAGTGCTTTGAAGGCACTGGATCACTATTACTTTTTTTAGGGCCAATATCGTACTCAAGTGACAAGAAATTCCTGGTAAACAAGGCATACGCCTATACACGTAGCTAGCAGGGTGCCAAAGTTTCTAGGTACACTTGGCTGTATGTATTGTGCCAACACATCTTTGTTGTCATCTCATCTCAGGTCCAAGGGGAATTCAGTCAACAGTGTGAGGACCTCACATCCATCAAGCTCATTGAGATGTTCTCAGAAACCAAAGGCACGGGCAAAGAGAAGCCAGGTAAGGCAGCAGAGGAGGTAATCAAATCTTGCCAGAGGAAACTTCCGCCAGAAAATAGTGGCAGCTTGCTCTTCACGGGTTGAGAAATAAAGTTTACTGTGCGCTTGATGATTGAAACATTACCATAATGTCCTAAGGCACCATTGCACTATTTTTTAGCATGTGCTCCTTCTTGGGTGTGTCCTTCCTATTTTGATGACATAAGTTCATGCTCATTCAGTTACCAAAAACTTGGCTGTACACACTGTCTGCCACAGGGAACTAGTGTGCAGACTGACAGTACCCTTCCTTGACCGTCATGATTGAAGGCTGTTTTATGATTAACATCCCAAATCCTTTTTGCATAAGTGAAGGATTTTGAAAGATTGAGAGTGTTGCAAGGATGTGGCTGATTTTGAAGGATGCCTTGTGTCAAGGTCAGCGGACAAAACTTGTGTTGTTCCTACTCAGCCACGGGTAAAAGTTGCACCCAGTTTATACTCGAAAGCGTCAATACTGCTCCTGGATATCATGCAAACTGCCTCAACATTTACTGGAATCGGGTGAGGATTTTGGAGGATTGAGCCTGTGTCCATTTTTTCACCTGGGGGCAGTTGGAGAATTTTGAAGACCTGGGGTTGTATCCAAGAAAGAATTCCTAGGGAGTTGGGTTAGGGGCCAATTCATGATTAAAGGCCAGTTTCATGACTAAAGGCCGATCTGGGAATAACCCTAACACTCCTCAATCCTTCACCTGTTGGAGGACTGAGGAGTGTTAGGATTAAATGCAAGTTTGGGATTAAAGGCTACATTATAGTTGGCACAAAATTGAACACAAATGCAAATTTGTGACATCAGAACACTTCTCAACTTGAGCAAACGTCACTTTTAATGGTTCATGATGTCAAATTTGCTTTGCTCATAAATTGAACTTGCCTGAATTATGAACCACCGTGAGGCCTTCGCAGTACCCTCTTCTGTCTATGCGCAAAGCAAAAACATTAGTTTGATAAATTCCATTTATTACCTTTTATGTAAGGAGTTCATTCATGTCACATGGTTTTTCTGTTGTGTCACTTTCAGGTCCTATAGTGTTTGAGGAATGCGATGTCTCAAATATTCCAAGTCCCGATCCGGACAAGAGTAAGAAACGAAAGACAAAGAAAGAGAAAACGAAGAAAACAAAGAAAGAGAAGGACGAGAAAGAAGGGTGAGTCGACCTAAAGGAAGATATTTGCCTTCAAAATTATCCCTCCTTCGAGACAGTGAGCACATTTCCTTGATTGATTTTTGAGGCTAGATGTTCATTCGAGCCACTTACTACATCTGTACCTGAGTCCAACGCCAACCATCGTGCTGCAGTGTGAGGTCAAGGTATTTTCGGCAGCCGTAACATACAAGCAAATAGAAACTGCAAAATTGTAACTGAGACCTACGCTTTGCAAGGATTTGCAGGCACTTTTTTTTTCCCCTCTGAGATCATCTTTGACAGATATTGCCACCATTATTAGCAGCGACAGTCCTAACAGCAATGGGCATTTTTCCATGGCCCTTTGCCAGAGATCATTTCCTACTTGTTGGTAAATCAATACAAATGCACCTGCTGTGCAGAGCCTGCGGTATCGCGTCTGCTCAGGCACTCGTCCTCTCCCCCGTCATCTTGTTATTAAAAATTTCACACGGAGTCAGAGTAATCTGCCAGCTTGTCTGGAGGGTTTGTATATTTGGCATCTTGCCAAACAGAGGAAAGGGGGTGGGGGGGTGGAGGGAGACAGACAAATGCATCCAAAGTTGACTAACCTCCATTAAGAAGAGTAGCTTGGGTGGGAGAAGGAGTCATTGTTGTGACTCGGCGAATTTGGCAAGCATATGAATTTTTTTAATCTGAAGGGAATGCTTTTATCAAAGTGCAAAATTGTCTAGAGATTGTCTCTGGGTCCATTCACCTCCTCTGTTTGAGGGATAGCGGATAATGACTTTCAGTAACTTTTTTTTCTCTCTCTCTCTTTCTCTCTCCTCGTTTCCTCTTGTTTTTTCTTTCTTTGCAGGGACACCCCAGATGCGGTAAGTTACATGCACATTTACTGCTCACATTTTAGTCACGAATGCAAAGCTGAATGTGCCTGTATTTCATATGTTAATCATTTTTCATGACAGTAGGTATTACACAGAATAAAAACCCTAAGATTGGGAGTTCTCATACATTGTTATGAGTGATGACTATTTGTGTGATTGCTAGGGAAAAATGATTTAGATGTTTTTTGAAGCAAATACCAGAAATTAGATGTACTTGTGTCACTTATTTTTAAATACAGAACATTTATTGTCCTTTGTAATAAAGAATATTTTGTTTGAGATGAGAGACAGTTAGTCAGGGAATCTGCTTTCGGTCCGATTTGTCATTTTCCACTTCTTATAAAGAAACAAAATGGCCTTAATTCTCATCTCTTGTTAAGAAGTGTCGTGCTACAGACAACCAGATGTGAATTATCCCCTCATTTCTCCTCTTTGGAATGTTCAATCAAGCCCAGATAATTGCGTTAAAACCAGTTGGAGTTTTTCAGCATCAGTGTGACAGTGGACCAGACTGTCGCTAACTACTCAAAAATATTCCATTCCTAAAAACCATCCACAAAATTCACCATAAGCCGTTAAGGCGTCATAGAGAAATTCATGCACTGATAACTGTTTCATGTTTCCCCTAGGCTGTGATTAATCCCATACCTTATCCATAATCTTTTCCCCCCTTTTTTTTAAATGCCCGTTGTTATTCTCAGCTCGCTTCCAGTAAATCCACCACTCTCAGTACCATATCCCCAACCACCCCAACCGACGCCTTCATGGTGAGTGGGTGTGCATCTCGATGTCTGTGTACTCTCACAAGTAACAAGAAGGCCTTTATGAGCAGTAGTGTAGATTGCACAGAAGTCTTTTATCTGTTTGGGGTTACGTGTAGTTTTGCCGTAACATTGCGAGATTTTGCAGATGGCTCCTTCGCACAGTGTTGAAGTATAGCTTGGTCTGTTCCAGCAAAAAGACGTCAAACAGCGGTGGTAGCTCTACCGTGACAAAAGGCACAAAGCATTGAGTTGAAATGTTTTACTCGGCAAATCTTTGTGTCAGTGAAGCTGCCTGGAAGTTGGAGAATAGAGAGATGGACAAACCTGACTTCAGCATTCTGAACAACTGTGCATGCACTGGTGTGCAGTGACCTTAGGCCGTGTCTGAAACGGGCTTTCAGAGCTACGGCTAGGTCTATTGTCTGCGCGTCTCCACGCATTTCCAGTGGAGTGAAGACCTAGACCTAGACCTAGCTCTAGACAAGAGATTCGGATGCAGCCTTAGGCTTCCGCTTGCTGTAGCTAAGCTCTGAGTAAGCAGATGTAAAACAACGGCTTTTCTTTTTGTTGAGTCTTCCCATTGCATGGTTTTTTGACCCCGGTTGCCATTTCCTAATGTTCTAGCCTTGACATTTGTAAACACTTGCAGTAGATTTGCAGTGAAAATTGCGTGTTCTGTGCTTCAAGTTAACAGCAATTTTTGTTTTTGGAGTTGTCAGAATTTCATTTACGATTTAAAACCTGTTATAAAAAATCTTCGGCACAGTTTTCAAAATAAGTAGTTCTGGATTCTGTCTCTACGTGAATTTGTGAAGCTTGTCATTCAAGCAGATCTTACTTTTGGTATGGTGTCCTTTTAACTGTTGTTTCCTCATTTTCATTTCATGTCATTCTGGTGTTAAAAGTTGAAACGGTGTTTTTCTGTTTTTGAATCAAAATTAGACGGCCATTTTCCTGTCTTAAATGGTCAGAAACCATTTTTTTTATTCGTATTAACAATTCAGATAAAAAGAATAAAAAGAGAAACTAGGTATTCTTATACATGTGGGTTCACTCCAGTTATTACCATCGATGTTTACGCAAAATAGATTTCAGGGTCCTAAAGTAACGCAAAACTTATCTGAGCAGCACCACAAAATATGTAACCCTCATCATATTTTGCGTTATACATGTATGTATCTATTTCCCATCCTCATCTGTTTGTCTGTACTCATTCTGTTGGCAGAATCCGCCTTAAGCAAAAGCACCCCCTCATTGGTTGAAAAAGAGCCATTTTGTTCAGGAGTGCTCATTTTGTTGCTAGCGATGCGACCACAAGGCACGCATTTCTTAGTCGCTTGTGAACCAGTGAAGTGCAGTTCCTACCAAAGGATCCTCTGTTACTTGCAGAATTGCGCCCTCTCTTGGTCGTGCTTAGGGCTCATAATGAATGGCTTGTCAACATTTTTGTCACATTGACCTGGTTTCATTTAGACCCAATTGTAAATGGCAGTCATTGACCCTGTGTGAACAGCCCACCCCAAAAGGGTTGCAGTCAGGAGTAACACCTTTCTGATACATGCTTTAGGAAAAGATAAAAGCAAATATGATGTCATAGAGCTTGGATTGGCTGTTTGCTTTCACAGTAGAACAATTCAGTCATTTCAAGGTTTGTGTAAATAAAAATCGTTTGCTTCCATTTGGTTCTTGTGGTGAATTGCTTCATCGTCTAGACACATAGACGCTTAATTTTTTTTTGTTGGCTGGGTTCACAAAACCGTCACAGCTTTCACTGTGTTCTTGTTATTTTCCATAATTTTCTGTTCACTTTTACAGGATTACTGTACGTATCTGTAATATTCTTGTCTGCTTTTATGGTTCATGTTAGTGTCTAAAATCAAGTTCACATGTAAATATGTACACTTTGTATACCTTTTACATGTAAACGTTGTGTTCAGGTACTTGTATATTGTCAAATGGCTGCAACTCCACGCAGCATACAACTTTGGCCTACAGGTTTCATTTTAGCTGCGGTCATCTTCGCTTCATGATACCCAAGATGATGCAGAACTTGTACAATTCCACTGCAGTGCTGTTTTGCACTGTCAATATAATTTTGCCGTTCGGCAAGAATCCAAGGTCCTTCTAACCTTTGACCTTTGACCTCCCTCGCAGTCGCCCAGTTCCATGTTATCACAGCAGAGCAGCCTCATGCCTTGCAGTTCCATGCCGGACGTGCGAGCGGTGAGTGAGTCCATCCCGATGTGACTGCATGGTGTACGTGTCCAGTTGCATGCATACAGAGCAAGCATGTTCTGCATGCAGCAGAACATGCAAAGACATCATTTGACAGTTTCCTGTTGTTCACGTCTTTTTTTTTTTCAATGTTCTTAGCCGTAGCACCTTGATGTACAGTTAACAGAATCTTGATGTACAGGCCATTCAAAGACACATTATGTCACCAGGAGGATCGCAGCAGTGTGGGGGGCAGGGTCAAACGTTATGGGAGTTATATCCCAATCAGCATTCCTTTTTACAAGGACTGGACAAATTTTGGTTCTTGAAGATGCTGCAGTAAGCTTGCATTTGTGTGGTACCACACAGGGGCAGCAAAGGACAGATAGTGAACTGCTGGATCATGTGGGCAATATGTCCTCCATAAAGTTGAAAAGTGGCCTCCTTGAAGGGTTGCTGGTGGTGTATTGTGTCTTTAATTGCTCCAGTTGTTTAGAGTCGGGGTATAGACCTATTTTGCCAGCTTAGTCACGTAACCTATTGTGGGTATCAAACATCAGCAAACATGGCATCCGTCCATAGCAAAGTGTGTCATAAGTGTTGTTTACCAAAAGTAATACCAATTTTCATTATAGTGCTAAGCACATCAGTACTCTTAGTACTTTACCAAACGTCAGCTGCATTTTTGGTAAATGACACTTATGACGCACTTTGCTGTGGGAGTATGCTCTGTTTGCCGATATTTGATACCTACTATACGGTACGTCACGTGACTTGGCTGACACAATCAGTCTATTGTGTAGACGGGATTTTGAAAATTGTCTGTGTGTGGTATTAGCCACCCCTGGGACCCGAAAGCAGGTGCGCTCAATCCTCCTACAGTAATGACATCAGAATGTCATACATTGCAGCTTGGGAGGAAATTTGAAGCTGGCAAGGAGACTGATTTGCAATTTGACATTTCGCAACTGATACGTGGTAATCCACCCAGAAGCTTGTTTTTGTTTCATGGGGAAAAAAAATTACAACACGGGTGTAGCATTGATGTGCCAATGTTGGTTTCCATGAATTGAGCTGTATTTTATGCAAATTGAGAAATCATTGCCTAACGCATGTTCCATGAGTGTATTTATAGAACTAAATGCTCCATGACCAAACTGAACCAGTTGATGCACATGACGAGCAGTGGTTGCTAGGCAATGCCCACTTTCTAGTGGTTGCCAGGCAACTGTAGTTTCCCTTTGTTCATCACTTGTGCATTAGTGACATTCTCTGCAGGAATTTTCATTATCCTTTGACTCTACACAAACTCCACATGGCCTGATTGTTCCTGCATGTTGACTTGTTAACTGTTTGTTTTTCTCAATGTTCAGTTCCACTGTGCACTCGTTATTTTGGTTGAAGCCCTTGTGTTTGATGTTATCATTTTCTTTTCTAGATGGATGCTCATGAATTTTGTTTTCAAAGTTTATTTCTTTTGCGTAGAGAACGGAGGACTCGTTTGTCATACGTGACTGTTAAAGTACATGTACTAATACCTGCATTCTTCTATACATTTTTTCAAGCTGAGCAGAAACTTTAGAAAAATCTATGGTGCATACAGATATAAACTGTAATTATACACAAACACGTCCATGCACTGACCAAAACTTGTTTGAGGGGTCTGTCTCTAGCCACAGATGATAGTAAAAATGAATGAAAAAGAGAAACTCATTTGAAACATCCAAATACCCCCTCTAAGCTAGTGAGCCTAATTGGAAAGATTTTGCAAACCTGTAAAAAAAATCTCGTCAACGTTATTGTAACAGAATTTCAAGCGTTGGTCTCTTTCCCAGGCACCGTTAAAAGAAGACGTTATTTGTTCCCTGTCACATCTGCCATCTCAGCACATTGTATACATTGGTAGCACACATAAAGCTTGGTTGCTGGGACAGCACTGGCAGTGATTCCTTTTTGTTTTCCAATTTTTACCGTAAATTTTTCAGATTTGACCATTGTCAGAACAAAGTCTTTTTGAAATTAGTGGCCTTCTTTTGTGCACAGCTCACTTGCCAAGCACCCATTTAGTTAATCTCACTCGAGCATATTTCATCAACCCTTATTTTCTGTCAGTGACTATTAACCACTTTGTTTCTGCTGGGCCCCCCTTCAACTTCTGAACTTAAGCCATGAAGCATTTCCGAATTGCCCTGAAATTAGATTGCTTACGCACCCCAATACAGCACTCAAGGAAACGGTTTAGTCCCGGCATCCATATCATGGCGTCGTTCCATTACGGAGGCTATAGTACATTGGTGAGTGAGGGCACGTTGGCATGGCAACGCATGACGACTAGCCAATGGTTGCTCTGCACGGTGGCTCTCCTTGGTTGTGATTGGTTGGAATAATTGGGCTAATGTCAAATGAAACCATCAACCAAAGTTGCCAGCTGGTAATATTACCGTAAGGCCACTCAGTGTTGTCTCTTTCTTTGTTTTCTTTTAATTTTTGTTGATTTTTAAACATTTTGTAAACCAAGAAATTGCACTGGAGGAGAATTCATTGTGTCTGCGGAATGGATTATATGAGTGCTTGCAATTTTTTTAAAACAACTTGCTCATTCATTAAGAGCAAATGGTGCTTACAGAATTACTGCTTTAATGGGAAGGCCCAACCTCTTCAATGTAGAATCCCCTCATACACAGTCATTTTCGTTATAAGAACGTATGCATAAAGAGAGGAAGGCTCCTACAGGTTAACGTAGAGGGAACCATACAAATTCTAAATACAAGTTTATACGCATGTATATATTTATTCATGCTATTTGGGTCCGCAAGGCAGGCAGGATGGAAAACCAGAACCTTCTGAAGATATATATTTTTGCCTGAGCAATCTTTTTTTTGGGGGGGGGGAGAATGCCGTATTATATTTTGATTTGAAACATACACTGTGCTTTTGTGAAACACATTTTATATTTCCTTTTTTTGCATTGAGGAATTGATTTCCTCATCCGTGTCTGAAAGCAGAAGCAGGCTGAGATTTAAGTCCGCTAGATAAAAACCAAACCGAAACGGTTTGTTGCAAAGCTCTAACGTCATTGCTCTGCCCTGTTTTCTCTGTCCAATTTTACTTTTGGAATGTTGCCACCAACTGTACATGCCATAAACAGCTTCATATTCATCCACGTTCAGTGGCCGTTTGCACGGTTCTAATTTAAACAAAAGCTCCAACAGATTATAAACCAGCAAATAAAAATCTTGTGACATTTGAATTATCACCCTTGCCTGAAACTTCACACAGCGACCGATGCGACACAACAGTCCAAGTATGTTTTCGTTCAGTTCTTTCCTGGGCAACCATTCGACGTCGGTGAGTAGTGACACCTCATCAGCACGGCATGACTCTGACGGATATGGCTCAGTAAGGAATTACTCCAGAAACTTTGCTTTAATGAATGCAGAGTACTAACCGACATCCAACTTTGCATCCTGATCTACATTTTCATTTGGAGTAATTACTTGGCATTGCAAAAATAATAATGTATGATTTGGGCCTAAAATTTGGCTGCAACGTTACCAGCTGTTAGGCTGTAGTTTCCAGGCATGCAACTCTTCCTCGGATCTGCTGATTTCCTCATTTTGCCCTTCTCACTTGTACAACTGAAAATTGAGACCGTGTACAGAATCTTGGAAAGTCCAAGTTGCATGCCTGAATTTCTGGTATGGATTTTGAATTGGGAAAAGCTTGTGGTTTTACTTTTTGCAACCGTTTTACTTTTAAGAAAGTAGACTTGAATATTGCACCGTAACACTAATGTCATAGTAGCAAATTAACACAATGTAAGACATAACACAGGATCTGAATGAATACACTGAAATAGAATTTCAATACTTCAACGGATCTCACCGAGTGTGCAGTAGCAACCGACACCCAACTGATCTAACAAAATGGATGGCGGCAAACTGGGAGGTTGGTAAAAGTGCCGGCGAAAGATACAGTGTGTTTCCAACCGCTGAGAGTTGAGTGATAGCATGTTGTGCGAGCAGCGGCCGGTTGTTCATGTCAAAACGTCAAACCTGGTGTGCGCGCACACGGTGCTTTACAAAACTTGAGATGTTTATCAGTCAGGATTATTCATCCAAGCAAAGAGAGGTTGAACTTGCTTTGGTTGCATCATCACTTTAAGTGATCTCTCAGTTCATGAATAATTTGAAGAGAGGAGTGCAGCTTAATGTGGATGCAACGCAGAAATGGTGAGGAAATGGAATCGTGACGATATGGGAAATGTGATTTATCTTCGTGCCACCATCGAGGGTGAGACTACAGGAAGGGCATTATGCACCAAGTAAATGGAGGGCATTGTTTATTTTCCTGGCACAGTCAATTACATGCAGGGATTTCCTTGCCAAGAAAGTTCCACCAAGGAAGTTCACTGCGTCAGTGATCTGTGTCATAACATCCACAAATTGTTGAAATCCTTTCCGTTTGTCGGCACAAACAGATACACGTGTACTAATGCATCATTTGCTTACGTATATAGTTTTCCATTTTCAGTTTCACCAGGAATGTCCAATTTTTGTTCTTGTCTTCAACCTCACTTTTGTTGTAGTGTTCCCTTCTCCGAGTTGTTTCTCACCCACAGTTGACATTCCTGGTTGCTGTCATAGCGGGTGGCTTCTGCAGGTTTTGAAGAATGACAGCCGATCGTGACATATTACTCTTCTTTTTTTAATGTTCAGTGACATGAAGCATGCCGGTACACATTTGTTATTTGTGTTGCATCACCACAGTAGTTGTACTCACAATGGCACAGGTTTTGTTCATAGGTGTACTGTGTAGGAACCTACTCAATAATTATAATTTTGTTCATTTTATAAATCCACAATTGTCTTCTACAATCCAGTAAGTTCAGCATAAGACAAAACAGTGTTGCAGAAGTCCGGTATATGGGTAAGTCTGGAAATTAGGGGTCCATTTTTTTCATGTCCCTGTCACATCTGACGTGATTTTGTAAGTTCGGACCACATTTTCTAATTTCCAAGAGTGGTGAATTAAAGCAAATTCCCTGCCAAAGAAATAGTGATAGTTTGAAAACAATTCCAGTGATATTTCCATGTCAAATAACAAAGGTCAGGTGTAACAGGGACAGGAAAATGTCACACTTTTGGACCCCTAATTTCTGGAATTACTCATATATTATCAGCACACATCCGACATTGTCATTGGTTCATGGACGTGTAGCCATGCAGTGTGTGAGCAACCAAGAAATGCATTGTTAAGGCCGGTTCACACTCACTGTGTATGCAGCGTGAAGGGCTATTTGGGGGTGTCTGCAGTGCGTGAACCAAAGCGCAGTGCGTAATGAAAATGCTCACCCATGTGCACAGTTTGTGAAAATACTGGATAGTGCGTAACGCACCCAAATGTATGCGTATTCGGACAAATTAGATTTTTAAAACTTTTGTCAGATACGCACACGCGGCCGAGACTTGAGGAAACGTAAAAGTATGAACGTCAAATGCGGCGTGGACATTACGCGCTGCGTGTGTGCAAACGCAGTGAGTATGAACCTGCCCTTAGACTTGTAGTTTGTTGGAATTTTGCAGCATAGAGCTCAACTTCGCATGCGTGTTAGTGCTTAGTGTGGGCTTCCTGCTAGCATTGTACATGTAAATAGCACAGTGCAGCCTTTTCGTGAGATCAAATGGATGACACGTTCTCACGCTAGTTTGAATGGCTGTAAGCAACAAACAGAAATTTAGCCAGCTGTAGCCCATACAGCCCAAACACCTGTATAGCAATAACGTATAACTTTGGTCAGCTTCTGTTGTGTTTCGATGTGTCTGTTCTTATTGAATGACTAGCACCATATTTATCTTTCCCGAGGATAGACAGTGATGGCAATGTATCTCACACAAGTTTGGACTGTTGGAACTTGGTGGCCTAGCTGTGAATTTAGAAACCTACATTATATAGTTCTTTTCAGTCATTCCTTGCTTTGGGGGTTACAGTGTTTGAATGGGAACTGAAGACAGACATGCTCATAGGGGGGGAGAAGTTGGCAGTGTTGCATCAGTGGAAAGAATGAATAGGTTGTCACAATGGCCTACCGGTACGTGTACATGTGCATGCGTTATAACCATTACATTGGTAACCTGACAGTCATAACTGGCATGCTTTATTGTTGTTGTCAGTGCCACTGACTGTTTGGGTTTGGTATTTCCACCTGTTTCACCCGACAGAGCCCACAGGTTGACGAAGAAGGATTCAGCATCCGGCCACAAGAGGTTTCGCCAAATATCCTTTGAATGTTGGGTACAATTTCACAGAGCTGCCATTTTTGAAAATTTGCTTACCACCGAAATCATTTGTTCACCAAAAACCAGGTTTCCAGCCCAAAAATCATAGACTAGATTGGACTTTGCTGATCATGTAAATTTCCTGAGCAAGATTATCTGCGAAGCAGCTCTATGAAAATGTGAGATGCGTGAAGTCTTTCAGCTTGAGCACTTCCTCAGATACATCCGTCCTTTGTCCTTGACCTCTGTCTTGCACATGAGGCTCCCACGCGGGACAGTTTCTACTCGGGCTCAGACACCGACTCGGACAGTGAAGACCGGACAAGGAAGATCCACGTGGAGATCAAGCCGGCCGTCGTATCCGACTCCAACAGTGGCCCCAACGCAGCATCCGTCGACGAGATCAAGAAGTCTCTCGGAGGGCTGACGCTATCCCCGCCCATTGTAAGTGGAACCCCACCCATTGGAAGTGGACGCAATCAGGAAAAAAAGTCACTGTGATCATAGAATACTCAAAAAGATGACAGATATAAGTATGAGCCATTGGAGTTCACGCCGTGCACGTCCTTGATGACTCCGATATTGTTCAGAGCTTCACCGAGTACTCTGTAAAAATACTTTGGTTGACTCCACAAACGTTCTTGGTAATTCATCAAGTGCTATTTTAGGCAGGTACACAAAAGAGTGGCTCACAGTCGTTTGTGTTGTGTAGTCTGACAACATTTGTTGATGTCCGTTGGCCTTGGTTTTTTCAGTCACGTTGCTATGTTGCAATATATTAGGGATTTATCATATGTAATGCTCAAAATAGATGCATAAGTTGCTTTTATAAATGCCATAAGATAATTTGTGATTTTTTTCCTTTACAGATGAGAAAAGATAAATCAAGTAAGTATTCTTTTCACCTATTAAAAAATATTTCACATTGGCACACTGTCCGCATTCATTGGTCACAAATTGCTTGTGGAAGTCCTCTTGTTTCTCCTCAGAAGGATGTTTAAAAGAACTGCGACAAATGCAGTTTTCCTTAAGGGAGAATGTTCTTGCTTGCATGTAAAAAAGCGATCCATCGACAGTCCACAGCTGGGTTTTAGCTTAAGTTGAGGGTTCACTTTGGTTCCAATCACTGCACAATAATGGTACACCGCACAAGGAGCCATCCATTTATCATATATGTACCTGATCTAATTTTTATAAAAGACTAACTGTGATTTTCTTTGTTTTTGCGTTTTCCCCTCAGATGGTGATTTGAAGAGAAGAAATCAAACAGTTTTACGTAGCAGGTAAGTAACTCACAAGTAGAGCATCTTTGTTATAACTTGGCATCATAAAGATTCTTTGTAGTTTGTCTTGTGGATATGACCTCAATAAATTAAGATTGTGATCTGTCCATCTGTCAAAGAGACTAGTCTTCCAGTCTATTCTTTTTCATGTGAATTCTTCTTGGCAATCTCCTATGTGGTTCCGCTTGTAAAGCACTTGCAAATAAGTTGGCTTTGTCAAACCCAAAACCCATTTTTTTAAATCCAGTTTGTATAATGCTTTGTTGAGATTTGTCGCCAGTACGTTTGTCTGTCTGTAGCCGTTGTTTCAGTGAGATGGGAAACTAATTTTGACTTTTCACTTTTCTGTTGGTCTTGGAAACTTGCCCTTAATTTTGGTTGTTAGTTCTGTTGCCTCTATTCCAGTGGGATGCTACACTAACCTGAATACGTTATGTTTCTGCTAGTGTTCAAATCTTCCCTTTATGCGTACAGACTCCTGTAGCCTCTTGTCCAGGAGTTTCATGTGACCAAATAAACTTCATTGTTTACCTTCTGTGGACTGTGTAGAGGATATGTAGGCAACACTGTTTAGCTAATGGCAAGCCCACAAGAGCAAGCGCATGGGGTCAACTTTTCAGTTGAATGTGCACAAATCTGCAGCTCCTTCACAGAGGAGATGCCTCCCAGCATGGTTCACAACAGAAATGGCACTGAAGAATTTGTCAATCTTACTCTGCCGTATTCATGTATTTTTCCTTCAGTCAGTGTACATACAGTCAAGCGCAGAATCCGTCGTCCGATCAACCCAAGTCTGTATTGACCACCTGTGATTTTAACTTGTTTGCAAAGTCTACATCTGTGTTCACAAATGTACTTGACGTCGCTACCTGGTGTCTGTTGACTTTATAACATGCTGTTGCTGTGCTTTGTCCCTTCCCCTCTCTTTCTCTCTTTCTCTTTCTCTACCTGAATCAGTGTGTCTATCAGTCCATCCATCAGTGTGTCTGACACTAGCTGTATGACTAAGCCTTTCCCTGACTCTCTTTATGCCAGCTACGGGGCCTCGCCCACCCATTATGCCCGCGTCTTATCTTCCAGGGAGAGCTTTGCGCGACGGAGGTGGGAGCCATTTGCATCCGTTGTACATGGGGCATGTGAAGTTGGTCTCGTCTTGTTCTCTGCGTACTGTGGCCCTAGAATAACATCAAATTGCCCATTGGTTTTTCTTCTTTTTTTTTTTTAGCATGCCTCACTTGCCCAGCATCGTGGTTTTGATTTGAATTTGCAATTCTTGAACAGCCTCCCTTTTTCTCTTTAGCCCCCCCCCCACCCATGTTAACCCTGGCATTTTTGTGTTTCTGGGAAACCAGTGACATAGAAGAGACATACTGCATTTGCCTTACGTTGACCTGATACTGCAATCATGTAGTATGCAAGGTGCATCGTGACTGTCTCCTTTTTAACTGCATCGTGACAAGTTATTCTGCCCGTGGATCCTTTGATTTGTATTTCATCAGCAAAGGTTCACTCTACAGAATGCTGCCTTTGATCTCACGTGTCTCCTCCTTCATTCTTGAAACCTTCCAAACATTGAGCAATTTGTATCATCAAACTGAATGATGTTTCCAGTGTGTGTCTTAAGCAAACAAATAGGAACTGTACTAGTGGCAGTAACACATGGCAAGTTAGAGTACTGTTAGATTGTAAAAAAAAATTCAGAGTGTAACAGGAATTTAAGTTTTGTGTCCGTACTAAAAAACAGCTTTCATACGGTAGCTTTATGTCTCATGCAGTGCATAATTTCCATCGAATGATTGTTATCTTTAGTTTTGTGAGATGTAATGGTGTTCCTTGTGAAATGAACCATTTTATTTTATGGCCTCCCTTGTGAAAAGTTATTGTTGCGGCTGTTTCCTTTCAGCCTTCATTTCAGTTTCCCCTGCCAGCAAGAACAGACCTGAATATTTTATGGGCTATGCGTGTACTTCTTCCCCCCCCCTGAAAATGTTTTGTGCTGATCTTTGTTGGCCATTGTAGGTAAAAGTGAAAGTTTGCCGCAGAAGTTTCTCCAGAAATCAAGTCAGAATTTCTTCGTGGACATGAGTTTCATTTTTTATAATACGCAATTTTTTATATTTGATTTGCCCTTGGGAAAAGTAGGAATTTTTTAAGTTTCATTTTTTCCTTTTGAAAAGAAACCAATTGTTATTTCTTCTAAAGATGCCCACCTCATTAGCATGAGTATATATCCATTTACTTCCAAAGTGCCCAATCCAGTGGCAACCTGCTGGACCTAGATTTCCTTTCGACCTCCTCTCCAACCTCTGACCTGATGTCGCCAACCAACAACACCAGCTCTGCCACCACACCCAGCTCCACAGATGGTAAGGAAACCTCAGCCCTTCAGTAATTACATTGTACCTCTTGAAAACTTGTACGATTCCACCGGAAAAAAAGGTACCAGAGACTCTGTTTATTCACTCACAACTCTCGGTGTAGAGGGTTTGTTTCCTCTTGTCAGTAATTCTTGGAGTTTCTTAGCTCATTTAAACCGACAGTGATTTTGTTTTTGATCAGTAGTTCTCTTCCACCTTTTGGGAGTACAGCAATAAAGTAATCACAAATTAAATGTTTTGACCAACAGATGCTTTTTAAAAATGGAAGAGGTATTGTCATTGAAAAAAAAATCTTACAATTTTAAAGGCAACACAGTGTCATGATAAAAAGTGCTCACACAGCTTCCTTGGGGTTTTTTTTCTGGGAAAAAGGTGGACAGATTTACTTAGGAACCCACTGCCATTTTCTTGAATGGTTTGGATTTTAGAACACTATAAATCACTGTGTTGAAAGGCAAACAAACAACCAGAAAAGGATGCCCTGTTGGTTTGAATTTCCTGTGTCCAACTGTTTGATCACATGTAGGTCTCCAGGTTTTTTTTAATTCATGTTGACTTTCTCCTCGGATAAAAGTTCTGTCAGGCTAAAAAATGCCAGTCTCACTGAATGTAAGAAATAACCGAAAGAAAAATGTGTGCCTTAATTGATTTCCTTTTCTGACCTGTTAAGCCAGCTTTTATCCTTGTCGTTGTGCATTCATAGGTTTCTTCTGATTGTTGCTTAAATCGAGTGAGTCTGGCATTTTGATCCTAGCAGAATAAAGCCGAGTTTTTGTCTGTGAGAATGATTCTGCTGGGATGCCTTGGAGAAAGATTTTGTTGACAGGCAAATGCCAGTTCCTCTGACATTAAAATATCATGTGTTGAGGTCCCCCGGCCAGCAAGGACTTTGCAACAGGTTCTTATTTCAGGGTTTTGTTTTTTTTTTTCTGTTCGTTTTTGTTGAATCCAAGACCTGATTAGACAACCCGGATAATTACTGGTCTATGTTCGTTCACACTACAGTCACACCTTTTGTGACGTTTTTTAATGATAGAGTAAGGATAGATTTTGCAGTGTCCAAAAGTAAATGTAAAATTGAGCGCAGTATTTCACTACCTTGTACATTAACTGTAGCCCATTTCCCAGTGTGTACTCATACCCTGCCTGAATGAAGGGTTTCCAGCGTACCTGACTCAAACTTCACACATGTCTACGTGTTTGGCTGTTGAGGAACCATACACAGCCAATGGCCTTGCTTAGGGAGAACAGTGGCACGATCAACTTGGTTTATTTTGAAGAAATACGGCAGCAGATGTCAGTGGCATTCGCTGCCAACAAACAGGAAACTGACAAACAGTATTAAGGACCAGTGATCCTTAACGGCTGTTTTTCTGAGATATGTCGCATTACTAGTGTTGTGTAGTGGCCTGACGTTTGGTGTGATCCCTAGCCATATGCCCCAAAAAGTATTACTTCTGACTAGCGCTCACTGAGCAAAGACGTCTTCAGTGTGCACACGGAAGAGTGGCTTTATACAGCAGTGTTCTGGATGGTTGCAGGTTCTCTGAATCATTTTTTTTGTTTTTCCTAATATTGATGTTCTTCCTAAAACTGACTCTGCAGAAACAAATTTTCTTGTGTCCTTTCAAAACTTTTATGTCCTCTAGAACCATGTCGTCTTATGCCTTGTTCATGTTATATGTAAATACATGTATTAATGTCATTAAGTCAGCAGTCATATCCCTTTTTAACCCACACACCTATTAACCCACGTCTTTATTCTCTTGGTTTCCCACTCTGGTCACCTGTCCTGGTCTCACCCATCCGTGTCTCGTCTGATCACCTAGGCCTGTCAATGTGGGCAGCGGTAAAGCCCCTGGTGGGCCTTGTCAGTGAGAGTCGACCCAGGGTCGAGTCCAACCCCGTCCCTGGCAGTCTGACCATTAAGCCGATTCTGAAGCCGCGCATCCGAGCCAAAACTGGTAACCTCACGCCGACAAAGTTTCAGGGCGGATTTTGTTTTCTCTCTTTTCAGCATTTATCGCCGCACTGTCATTGCTTCACAGACTTGCTACACCACTTATCAACATGTACTTCTGGCATTACTCCATACTTTTTTACCTTATCCATTTATTATTGCAGCAAAAAGAATCATGTGTGACCTCATTATCAATGCATGACCTCACATATTTTTCTCATCTGTGCAAAATTCATAACAAGGTAATTTCATGTTCAAAAATGATTGCCCTTAACTAGAGCCTAACAATTACCGCAATCAGCAACCAAATATTTACATGATCTTAGAACCTGTAGGAATAGCGACGAACACAGATAACCAGTCTGATCCTGAAGAGATGCCCTAATGTCAAAGACGTGTGGTCAGGTCATGCCATAGCTAACCAGCGTAGTGCACAAAACTTGACAGGTACCGGTATAAGGCTGCATCCGACTCTCTTGTCTAGTGCTAGGTCTAGGTCTTCACTCCATTAGAAATGCGTGGAGATGCGTAGACAGTAGACCTAGCCGTAACTCTGGAAGCCTGTTTCGGACACGGCCTAAGACTTCCAGTCAGTTGAATCATCATTGCTACAAGCTCTGCCAATCATTCTTCATCATTTGTACTACAATGCAAATGTGTAGGTGGCACAGGTGACTTGTGCTCAGAGGGCTTGCCTCTCACCACTGTGACCCCGGGGTTCGATTCCCGGCCTTTCATTTGTGGTGTTTGCTTATTCTCTCCTGTGCCATTAGGGTTTTCTCTGAGTGCTCCATTTTCCTCAAACTCAACACCTGAGATTTTGGGGGGGCGTGTTCCATGGTCAAATATGGGTCACTCGTTGGCTGCCTGGGGTGCCTGCGCATGCCCTCCGTTAGACCACATTGTAGCTGCATCCCCTGTTATTCAGCTATGCGGCTGCAAGTATTACCCTGCCCCCAACAAAAAAGGACAAACAGCTGTTGAAATTGGAAGACTCTATGTCCATCAGGCAGATATAAGAACAATTTTTGGTCAAAGAGTACTTGAGTATTTTCCTAATGCCGTAGGTGTGAGTGTAAGGGTTAGGCCTCTACACTCTTGTTCCGAGCCCACATTTGAACACAGAATGACACAGGAGGAGAGTTTTTATCTGTCCGGGGCTCTGAGTTTCAGCAGTGGAAAGTATTGCAGCCTAGTCTTAAAGACTCGATCAATAATTGGAAAAATTACCATCAGCTTAAAGTAAAGCTTAAAGCACATTAGTCCTCTCTAGCTTGAAAGGTTTTTTAAATCTGCTCTGTTGCGCCTGCAGGTACATATCATGCTCTTGCTGACTTAACTGAGGAGAATTAGTACCTGACAATAACTTTATTAACAGTGTTGTAGTTGAGTCCATCGCAGGTATTGATGCCTCTGCACCGTAAGTCATCCAGTGCCAAGTCAAGTCACCAGCTATGGGCAAGTTCCAGCCGTGACCACCTGTGTTGTACCACGGCTTGAGTTTCCCTGGTAACCCATGCACCAAATATATCTTGGTTTCCAGGCAAAATCAACCAGTGGTTGACAAGTGGTTGTCGCTCAAACTCGCCACACTTGTTTAGCCTTCTCAACAGACAGTCCATGGAGTGGATATGCTCGCTTGTTTAATACATCATCTGCTTCACCCTATCACATGCCAATCCATTAATAATATCCAGAGAAGAGCAGCCAGAAAAAAGTAGATTGAATGGTCTTGTTCTGACAACCCTCAGCTGCAGACCTGCTGCACAGCCCGACCACGACAAGCGACAGTCTACCCCCAGCATTGCCCATCAAACAGAGGCACAGCATGGGTGGGTTACCAGCCACCTCAACCACCCCCACAGGGGGCCCCACTGCGCCAACACCGCCCCCTAGGTCAACCAATCGACCGTGGAGTGGAGTGCAGGTAAGGTGGTTGTTTCTGCATAGTGAAGATTTGTTGTGCTTAGTCCTGGTTGTGTAAGAGCTAAGCACTGGCTGTTGTGAATGTGAGCAAAATTAAATAGTTCAAGACAAAAATGACACAAGAAGCCCACCTTTATTGATAGGCACCTGTCTGAAGGCGACTGCTGGAACGGTTTTGACATACCACTGTGGAGATTCTTGTGCTTTCAAGGATAGGTCCAGAGCCAATTTTTTTTTTTTTTTCGAGGGGGAATCTGATTTTTTATTGCCTTCCTGAGGGGTGAGGTTAACTTTGTTGGACTTTTACATTTTTAAGACAGAAGGGAAATGAAGTAGATCCCCTCAAATTGACATTTTCTCCTCTCATATTTCAAAAACACAAATTTCCCCCTTTGCTTTTTTGTTGGGGGGGAGATTGGGCATGGCCCCTTTTGCCTCATCCCCTAGTGCACACTTTCAGCAGATTTTATATCGGAATTTCTGACTGGTTTCAGCTAAGCAAACAGGAACTGCATAAAGAAAGAAGAGAAAAAAATTAGATGTGAAGCATTTTCTGTCTTTTTAACCTTTGAACTATTGCTGCTTCCCATTTCTCTCTCCAGTCCCCAGTTCCCCGAAGCGAAACCCCCAACATGTTCAGGCAAGACAGTTCCTCATCGTTAACCAACTCATCCTTCAATGCGTCTTATGTCTCTGGTACCTCACGAGGGCCCAGCCCCCTGACGTTGGGCATGTCTGACACAATTCCCATAGCTGCTGCCTTCACCGAGTCGGTCAATGCCTACTTCAAAGGAACAGATCAGTCTAAGTAAGATATTGATAGCCTAGACAATTACAGCAGATAAATGTATTCCTTATTCTTTGCTGGCACTTGTAAAAATGTGTATTTTAGGATTGATGCAGTCTCATTTAAAATTCTAACTGGAGGGTGTGTCTTCTGTGCTTTCAACTTGTACTTGGGTCTTTCCATGAGGTTGGGGCACAATTTTGAAGGTGTCCTTGTTACATGTGTACCGTAAAAATGAACAGCTATTTCCCTGCATGTGGATTCCAAATTATACATATTGCAAGGCTGAATACAGAGGTGTGTATTATTTTTACAGAGTAAATGACCTACTCTACAGGTCATGACAGGTGGTAAAAGCTATCCAAGTAACAAGGACACTGTCACAAATTGTGCCCCACCCTCATGGAATGAACCACTTTCCAAACCCTGAAGAGCTACAATCCTTGCAACAAGTGAAGAACATTTTAGGAGACTTGACTGCTGTTATTTGCAGCCACTTGAGTGACCCTAGCCCTCCACGATTCAACTCATTTTTCCAATTTCTTCCTTTTTCCCGCCATTATCCAGGTGTATGGTGAAGATCACTGGCGATCTGATGCTGTCATTCCCGGCAGGCATTATCCAGGCCCTGACCAGTAACCCTTCGCCTGCAGTACTCAGCTTCAAAGTCAAGAATTCGGACCGGCTGGAACAGGTGCTACCCAACAAACAGCTCATAACCAAGTAAGAAGGTCTGCCCAAGTGAGAACAAGCGACCCAAGTCCAAAGAGGACAGTGTTAGACCAATTCTGTTTTATTTAATCTGGCCCAGTCACATTTGGAATTAGCATGTGGAACGTGAGGAAGCTGATCTCAATGAAAGTAACGCAACATGTTGATGTTTCCTGATTAAATATCTGAAGTAAATGCCTTGCTAGAAACCAGTTATTCAGTCAGTTTGAAAAATTTTTAGATTTACCAATGCTTTCAGTAATAATGTACTTATGCAGATGTTATTTATTAAAACTTCCATCAGTTTCATCAAGTTCAACCAATTTGTTACCTCAGTTAACAAACCATCAAGTTTTCTGACTGAATTTCATAGCCAATATGGACACCGTACTGAATGGAACTCTCCCACTTTCCTTCCACAGTGACTCTTCCCAAACTACATCCGATAGTCAAGCCTATTCCTTTAACATGAGTAACCTTGTAACGTTGCTAAAGAGACAGGCCGAGAAGAATGTAGCTGCATCCTACTTTAACGTAGACATCCTCAAATATCAGGTAGGAATCCCCCCTCCCCCCACGACTCCCAGATTCAGAGTAGTGCAGCCAAATTTCAGAATTTTTACCTGGGTGATTTTCAAGATTTTCCATTTTCTAAATTCTTCAAAACTTCATAACTTCATTTACCGGCCGTTTACACCCACATCAATGACTGTCTGGTGGCAACCTCCATTGACACCAAATATTGCAGCCAGGCCTGCCGCCAAGTAAAGAGAGCCCAGATTGTGCAGTTTTGCGTAATTTCCTTTGTTCCTTTTCAAATGCAGCCAGATTAACATGGAGCATGGTGCTGGAGCACTTTAGTCCCCACTGATAATCCACAGGCGCTGAATGCCGCAAGGAGTGGTATACTGTTTAAAACATACAGCACAGTAACTGTAGAAATAGTCCAGTGTATATGCAGCATTAGGAAAAATTACACCATGGAATATTGAAAACATCACAACATGTATCACAATGTAATACAGAAAGACCATTAGGAAAATTACACCGTGGAGTATTGAAAGCATCATAACACTTTTCACAATGTAATACAGAAAGATCAGATAATTAAAAAGAAATAAAAGTGTGATAGAAAGAAAAGGGGGAATGTCGAAACACCCCCCCCCCGCTCTAACAAATCCTGCTGTCAACACTCAAGGAAAACCAACCTCAGGAATGTATTCAAGATTTTAAAAGTACATATGTACATATACATCTGAAATGGTATATCCATATAAAAATTACGGTCACTGGCGAAAGAATCACACTTGTGTAGATTTTGTTTCAGCCACTGGAGTAGCCTCTGCATAAATGTTTCAACATTCGTAATGGCCTTAAGCTCCCCACCCAGCTTGTTCCAAATTGTAGCACCCCTGTAGCTGAATGATCTCTGACCCACGGTTGACACATCTTGGTGTATAAAAAGTGTTAGCCTGGTTGTTTCTTGTGTGATGAGTATGAACCCTGTTGACCGGTATAAACAAGTCCTTCAAATATGAAGGGGCAGTACCATGGACAGTATTGAACATTTGCAACTCTAATATCAGTAGGTAACCAGCCAAGTTCTTTAAAAAGTTGGACTGTACAGCTCTGCCTGGCATCCCTGACATCTAGTATACTTCTGGCATATCATTTCATCATTACATGGATTTTAAGTAATAATTCTTTCCTACAGTTGCCCCAGACAATACATCCATAGTCAATGTGTGGTTGCACTAGCCCTGTATAATAATTTTTGGTTAAGCATTTAGGCCTGCTGTCATTGTCCCAGTCTGTTTTCCTGGCTCACATTCCAAAGCACCTTGTGTTACGAAAAAAAAGGAGTGCAACAAAATTAACACGTGAGAAACATTTGTCAGAGAAACTGTTGTGTGAAGCAGTAACCAGAAAACAATTCGATTTCAGTTCGTGAAATGAGCTTCGCATACCGTGCAGTGGGCATAGATCACTTTAGGGGACAGTTTGCATGTGTTGTATCTGTTGTAACACCCCTCTACTAAAAAGCCAGAAACAAATCGGGCTGTTTAGCATGCCAGCATGACAAAGTCTGACCCCAACTCAAAGCAAGGAGGCTGGGCACCCATTTGTCAAGTTGTGTACCCACAGACTCGCTGGACCCAGTGTCGTAATGCTGCTTTGTAGAAACAGAAACTATTGCACGTTTTCTTGCGTAGCTTCAAAATGCCGGTGGGGACCTGTCAAGAGGAATGAACCTCACATGAAATTTGGTTTTGTAACCCATTGTCACCAAACAGATCTTTCTCATGCTAAGCAAATATGCTTGCTCGGCAGGTCCACAACAAGAAAAAAAAGTAAAGTTCAGTTTCTGTCAGTTCATTCTGTCCATATTGGGCCTCGACACTATGGATTCCATTTTTCAAACCCCCTCTTTCCCCTTTAAACTGCAGGTCAAAGTTGAGCCCGAAGGCCGGTCCACCCCGCTCCACCTCATCAGCTACTGGAAGTGCGAGCCCAGCACCACCGACGTACGGATAGACTACGCCTACAACTCGTCGGCCGTGGACCAGGCCGTGCCACTCAGCAACGTCACGTTGATTGTCCCTGTCGACGGTGGAGTGACGGTCATGCAGTCCAAGCCAGCTGCTACCTGGTAAGTTTGGAGATGTCAAGCCTGTCTTCATCCTCCTGCAGGCAAAAAGAGTAAACTTTTCAAACTGTGAAGCAACAACTGGTTACTTCACATGTGGGAAGGTTCAAAGGGGGCCATGGGTCTCTTTTTTAAATGCAAAGTTAACAAGAATCAACTTTTTAGACTATTTCAATGCGCTTTCTTCCCAAAATAATTAAAAGCCCCCAGATTTAGCCTCATCTGAATGGCCACAAAGCGGTGCAGATCCACATTGGCCCTTTCCAAGTTACTCACTTTATCTGTGTACAGTCATCAAAGTCTCAACATGTGAACATCAGCAATGTTTACTGTGTGTGCAGTTAAGCATTCCTCTTGAAGTAGGCTAGCACAGAACCCCAAGATTGATGGTCAACTCGTCTTCCCAAATGACTTCCTCATTTGGTACATTTTCCGCATTAACAGTTCAATATCCACCTCTCAAATGAGTTTGCACTAACCCCCAGGCTTGCTCAGTGACTAGTCTTTTCCAAAATAATTCCACAGGTCAGCAGAAAGCAAACGAGCGCTGTGGAAGATCGGCGACATATCCCCCAACAGTGAAAGCGGGCTGTCCGGCTCCATCCGTGCCAAGTTTGAGCTGACGGAAGGCCCCAGCAAGCCAGCCACCTTGGCAGTGCAGTTTAGCAGTGACGGGACGACGTTATCTTCTCTGGACATTGAGCTGCTGACCACGTCCTACAGGCTATCACTGGTCAAGAAGCGATTCGCCACAGGTATGATAGGACAGTTGGCCTTCTTCAGAAGATTTGAGAAGGTCCCCCCCATATATTTTTCCTCCATTTCATGGCCTGTCTGGTTGCCTTACCGTGACATTTTTGTAGATTGGCGTGTCACACATGCTTTGTAATATTTGGACACACTGTTGGTGCAGGTTGTCAAATTCTTTATTCAGGGTGCCCAAAACCTTAAGGTCTTCCACTGATCATTTCACAGGAAAGTGATGCTTTAGAAACAGCCCTCTTAAGGTTAAATTTTCAGTAAGTGCATCTATGCTTTCTTCCCCTTAGGAACTTACTTCAGGCCGCACTTACGAGTTTCATAATGTCACAAAGACTCTTGGCCAGACATCCATTAACAGCGTGAATTTATGTCTGTCGTTGCAGGTAAATACTTGTCGGAGAGCTAACATCGAAGTAAATGCGCCTACTTCACAACTGCCTTGAGAAGACTTGAATTTCCAAGATGGCCAACACGACTTCCAAGCAGAGGTATCCAAACCTCAATCATCGTGTGGCCATCTCCACTCTTCCTCTGAGTAGCAGTAGAATTGTTGTCTTGTTCTAAATAGTGTCTTAGAGGTACATGTACCTTTTTTTAAGAGTTAGAAAACTCAAATGTAAAATCTAGTCAGATGTGGCACTTATGGGAAGGCGAAGTCATTTCTGCAAAAGGATGTGAAAAAGTTGGCATTGCGCTTAAAAAGAAGGCAAACTGGATTATTTTTGGATTTTTGTCATCGGATGTATGAGGAAAGAGAAGCCAATGCCAATACAGAGCGGAAAAATGTGAAAATTCAACTGGTCCTCGTGATATCCTTAACCTTACTGCTTTGTCATATTTAAACACAGTATGAACATGCGCCGTGTCCAGTTAGCAGCTGCCCTCCATAGGCCAAAATCGATCAAAAATACCGCAGGGCTGTGTGTTTTATCGGGTGTTACTCTAAATTTTGGCTGATTCCTTTTTTTTGGGGGGGAAGGGGGTATTACATCATACATGTAGTTGGTCCTTAATAATGAGTGTCCACATTCCACCACAGCTGAATTTAGGTGGCACTTCTGCAATCATAATCTTAAACAAAAAAAAAAAAGATGATATTCACTGAAAGTTGGTAACTTGAAATTTCCCACTTGCAAGTAAATTTTAGTTACTACACCAGTCACCCATTTACCACAAGAAGATTTACATTTTCAGAAGGGAAACAGTTTCAAAGCCGCCCAAATCTGTAATTCTTGTACGACTCATTGAAACATATTACCCTTTCCCCCAGGAAACTTTCATTGTGGAGCCGTATACTTTCATTTAGTCGTGTAACAATTTCCAGTGTCTCAAATACTCTACAAACAAAAGGCCACACCATTATCACAACATGCCTCAACCAGGATTTTTTTAAATCAATAATGTCATTCTTCAAAAGGTTTATTTTGTTTTTTAATATATGAGACATATCAGTGGAGCCTGCAAAATACTTAAAATATGAAGATTCTGAAATTGCATCAAGAAAAATACAATTGTAGATGAACAGTCTAATTTAATATTATAAACTTGTACATCTGTACTACTTGTGTAAATAGATGCAATGAATTGACGAGAAGTAGGATTACTTGGCAGAGAATAAAAAGCAAAATATTTTTGTATATACAGAAGAATTGACATGGGAGGCCTACGTATTTGGAATTATCCAAATCAGATATGGTATTTTTGAAATTAATGCTCAATACAAGAGCTCCAGTTAAGTCTTAAGATGGTGACTCCACAGTGCTAGAGAACAGGGCAAGAAGACCATTCAGAAGATGGTAGCGGTAATTCCACAAATGATTTTAGAGTAGCTCTAGTTGGTGAGTTCTTTAAAGTGGCACATGTTCCTGCGTATCTAATTATTACCTGAAGTTGTGCTGTGTTCTGGATGCTGCAACAGGTATCATAAGCTGTGTCCAATTCATCTGGCTGGGGCTCGGAGTAAACATGCATTCGTTGAAAGTACATGTATCCACGGCCGGTGGCTTCAACAAGCAAAGCCACAGTTTGTTTTTTGGGGGGACATAACTACAGGAGCTGTGAGCTCCTTGTGCAGTTTGCTCTGTGCGTGAAAAAGAGACATCGTTCTGTGGGGCCAACTTGGCGTTCGCAATTTGTTAGCGGGCGTATGTGGTGCACACTACGAGAGGAACACCAGTCTAGTCTTCACAAGTGTCCTGCAGGTCTCTCTTTTCGGTCACCAGTGAAAGAGTGCATCTGCACATGGTCCAAAGAGTGAGCTTAGTCAATTCCCTTGCTCACACAAGGGCCTACTTCCAAAAACTGCCTTGGAGCTGCAAAATACTGCCCAGCAATTTTCACTCAGCAGAAATGGGACCTCAGCTGAGGATGTGTCTTAAGCAGCATACATCTTGCACAGCAATTCCAGTGCTTTTTCCTGAGACACATTCTCTTCAGTGCTAATTTCTGTGTAAAAGTGCTCTCCGTGGTTGATCCACAGCTTGGAATAACTCAAGAAGTAGCTCTGGAAGATTCTTTGTGTGTCGATGGTGGGCAAAACGAGGAACGGTTGATTGTTGCAAAGCGGGTCATGGGTTTCTCAACTTTCAGGGGGAAGGGGCACATGGCTTCCATCGTTTGGTTGCTTCATGTCAAGTGTTGTGCCTCTCTCAAGTGAAATGACCTCACTGAATCAATGAACAGCCGTGCATTGTGAGCTTACCAACCCGTAATTCCTGGTACAGGTACAGTGTATGTGTTGTTTTGATGGGAGAAGCCATTGTTACCCTCTGTACATGTGGTAAATGGAAAAACCCTCCCCTTCAGTTGATTTATTTGGCGGCTTTACTCCAGGCATTGTGAATGACTTGAAGAGGTAATGTTGTGTGAAGGCCCACTCTTGAATCCTTGAAAATTCTGCTTCACATTCCCTTTTCAACATTTTCTTGTCAATCGGTAACCGATGGAGAACAAGGGTTAATTAAGTCCAGGTCAGCACCATAGTCAAGATGAGTACCTATAGTCATCCGAGTCCTCCAAGTAGACCTGAACTTAAGGTGGTACTGCAGGAGTCGAGCCTAAGCGCCAAGGCTATCGGTCATGTGCGTGGACGAGAGAGAGAGCAATTGGTAACTTGGCAGCGATGCCACATTTGGCTGACATGATGCATGTATATGCTTGTGAGGCCAAAATACGTGGCACTGGGGTGCAATTACACACAGAAATGGTTACGGCTACGTGTAATGGGGATATGACCTACCTTGCGTGTCCTGTTTCGTATGCACAAGTAGTTTTGCCAATCTGTAGAGGGTTTGCATGGCTGCCATCTTGCGGGCCAGTGCTTTTGTTCCACAGTGTATGCAAAAAAGGAGGTTGCCCTGTGGAGCAAAGCATCTGCCCTGCAAGATTGCTACCACCTCTGTTGGGTCTTTGCATGTGCTCCGGTGCAGGGCACCAGTAGCATTAAGTGTCGGCCTAGCCTCTCTCTCAGTCAGGCGTGAGGAGTTGCATTTGTACAGCTTCCTTAGTGACCACATGTCTTGATTTGATCATAGAGGATTTGAGTGTTGGAACGCACAGCTTGATGCAGATATGCTGGAAATGTACAGTTTTTAAAGTTACAAGATCAGCCTGGAGGTGGAGTCCTTGCGTTGTACTTTGGACATTTTCAGCATTGCTCTTCGACAGATATTTTGACCCCTCTCCAGTATCCGAAACCTGAATGCACAGATCACATGGTCTTGTTTTCCAGGCGTCGTTCCTACCGTGCACCTTTTATTTCACTGTGCTTCCTGAATTCGGAGGGCTCTGACAACTGGGGGCTTGACACAGTAATCCATCTGTTGCCATTCATTTTTCACACTCTTGAATGTCGAACCATCCCCTCCGTGTCATCGCTTGAGGTGCCTATCTAAAGCATCGAACGTTTAGCAATTGAAAGTGTCTGCAAATCAATTGAAAGTGTGACTCACCACCTAAATCAAATCCCGAGCATTTGTATTTCAAGATAGACATCTGTTAATAGCCATTGAAAGTATCCCCGTTAATCCTCAAGGGCCAACAGAGAGGTTCCAAGTGTACATGAATCATTGATGACGATACAGTCTGTATTAGGTGGCTGTGTACATCCTTTTTATGGAAGTAATTTATGATTTGATGTATCATTGAAATTATAGTAGTTATATATTTGATTCACATGTTTTATATGTGTATATATACTATATTGTAATGGAAAGTATGTTAAGTTTTCTAAGTTTTATGCTATAAAGGACAACTGTATAAAAATTGCAATGAAAAAAATTAATGTCTGTATCGCAGGTAAGCATGAATTTCGTGTCTTGAGCCATTAGAAGTTTCTGTAAGAAATGAAAAGGTTTTTCATTTGCTTTTTTGTAACCTAGTTCCCGTTTCCCGTATTTGATGCATTTTTCTGTTTTGCTATGCATACCACTTTACATAAGTACATACATGCATCTGACATCGAGCAGTTGATAAGTTCATGTTGTAACGTGCACATGTAGTTGATGTCACAAAAAATAAAACCTTTCTGGATTGGTCATGGACAGTACGACTTTCATTGAAATTGTGTGTTTTGGCGGTGTGATGCTCATCTTTAAACACTGAATGTGTGTCTCTTGGGTCTCCCATTGTGTGAAACTTGGACTACAAAATATCGCCGGTGCACTGCTAAAAACGGCGGGTGTGTTGCTCTACAGTGCCGACTGCGCGTGACGTCACACGTAACATCGTCTGTGAGCAGCTACATTTTTCTGCCTTGCTTGGATTATGAGGTTAAGGTTTTGAGAAATTTCGACATCGGTTAAGATGGTAATTTGTTAACCCTGACGGTCCTCAGTCCTCCGATTTCTGTATGATTTTACATACACCCCCCTGGTTTAGGGTTTAAAAAGTAGCCTGCGTTGGAAACTATTCAACCGGTAACATTCCTGCTCACCCCCAGCAATTTCTTGGTAATTCTTTCATCAGTTATCAGTAGTAGAGTACACGGGATTTGTTTCCAAGATACTTTATTTTTATCACGGAAGTCATCAATTTGATATCACACTGAAGTGGTTTTTTTTTTAGAGTAAGCATCCATCATTTTTATTGTCTGATTGTGTTGTTAAATGGTTTGACTTGCTATGTAAACCCTATCCTTTGTGACATTTACCAGTGTTGTATTCGAGTCCATTACAAGTCCTTTCACAAGTCCAGTCGCAAGTCCCTCCACAAGGCCAGTCACAAATAACAGGGTGAACAATGACAAAAGAATGCTTTTTTCGCAGCTCATTTGAATAGCTTGGGAATTGGCTTAAGACTGAATGACTTGCGATGGACTTGCAGGGACTTGTGATGAACTCGGATATATGTAACACTGCTATATACACACGATTAAAAAGACCAACCCAGCAATTGTTATTAGGTGTAATTTAAACTTTTTACGATCGGACTTTCGCTGTTAATGCCTGTGGACCTTGCAAACAAATCAAAATATCCTTGTTTGTGGATGTCAAGTGCTGAACAATTTCACATGTATTGTTCGAATGGAAATAATACATTGTAAACTATATTTATTTTTGGATTAAATCGATGAGTGGTGTGCTGTATGAACTGGATAGATGTGTAAATTTCCATGGTCGAATGAAATTTGGGGTTATCAAAATGTTTATTTTGCTTATTGGAACAAGAAAATTTAATGTTTCTTTTTATGTGCATGTTTCCGACTGTAGGATCTTGGATCAAACAGTGTTGTGTATATGACGATTTTAGACGCTAGCTGTTCATTTGTACTAAAGTAATTGGCTTGAGACTAGTTCACGAGAAGAGCGACTGTTCGTGAGATAAATTAATTATTCACGAGGACGGTGTAATAATTTGTACGATGCAGGGCTGTCATTTTTAGACCAGGTGAGGTTCAAAAAGTGACAGGGTTTGTATATTAATGATAACTCTGTGCCTGTACAATATCTGTAGAGTTGCTAAAAGGATTATTAAATGCCGATCTTAAAAGCGAAATTACGCAAGTGGTTTTGATATACATTTTGTTGCACGGGTCGATGTATTTTATCCATGGTTGAAAAAGCAGGCTGGTTTTCAGCCTTTCCGTGGCGTGACAAACATTATTTTAAAAAGTGCCCAATTCAGACAATTGAGATTGTTGGTGAAACCACGGACCATTTACCCATCTTAACAGCCAAGAAATTATGGGGAGTAATGGGGCGGTTTATTACTTGGTTTGGGCTCAACATGAAACTGTTTCTCCGAGAGACCTACATTGGAATTCCGAGGGTACCAAAGTCTTTGGGACACGTTAGTGACAAGCTTCTTAACTTAGTGACCCAAAAATAGCAGTGACGGTAGAGGTGTCGGCCAGAAACGCCAAGAGAGTCCTGAGCGTGAAAATATCCCTGAGGAAAAGGAAATCTGCAGGTGACATGAATTAAGTTCAGGGGCGACCCCGCAGCCGATTTTACAATACATTTTACCAAAAACATTTTGGGAAAAGGAATTATTTCTTCCGGTATGAAAATAAAGGCGCCATCGATCCCAAGTACGGTAATTGTAGGGAGAATTTGAGATCATCGATTGTTATTCGATTAACACCTCAATCACAAAAGCTCCCTGGTCATTTGAGCTTTATCTAATTTGGTACCACGGTACATTATGGCGAAAGACCCTTCAATTTCGTATATATACAAAAGATGTTATTCCAAAGAGCTACAGAAATATGGACTTCAATTCCGAGTATGAAACACGAGAAATTTTGCTTTCATTGAGATCGTATAGTCTGTTCGGTTGTCCTTTGCAATTATTTCGTCTCTCGTAGCTGGTTGGGCTAGTGTTGAAATGGCGCATTCGTCTTCTGCCGTTCATTTTTAATGCGTGTGTCATCTATATGGAGTTTGAGGAAGCTGCGAAGGCCCTATGCCTTTCCAGCGGGGAGGAGAGTGAGGGATTAGGATGGTGAGTGTTCAACGTTGTTGCCAAATTTCTACTATGCGTGGAAACGAAACAAAGAACACTACTTTATTTCTTGCTTTTCCAAGAAAATCTAAATATTGCGTTCTTGTATATGATTCGTTTTAGTTTCCCTTGAAATAGAGTTCTTAGGTGGCGAAATTAGAGACCTGGCGACCGTATACTGTCACGAACGTTAGAGCGTATTTTTTATACGTATTTTGTCAATGAAGTTAATTTAAAAGAATGCATGCATATTTCCATGTGCAAAAATTTTCCTTGTGAAAGAAAGTGAATCTCCAAATCACGAGCATTACCAAATCAATGGAAACTGCACGACGTCATTCAAGTGTCAAAAAAGACGACATATATCTTCACTACAAACTGAAAGTCAACAACGAAACTTGATCGTTTGACTAGCACTGCACCGTTTTGTGTATTAGGAAAAAAGATGGGATGAATCTGCAAAACTGGACAACATTAACAGAAAATCAAAGGTGTTGAATTTCCCGTTTTGAACGCTTCATCCCGTGCGATTACCCCCCTTATCGTCATTGTAGTATTTCCTGAAGCCTATCGCGTGGACCGTCTCGCAGACTAAGCAGGTGCCTTCCCCGTATCATATTTCAGACAATCTCCCCGCTAATTCGTTCTTTGCCTGCCGGCAATAGATGAGCGAGCTCTCATAGAAAGAGAGAAAAAAAGATGGGCGAGCTCTCGCTTGAGCGAACCCCTTTACGACTACCCGAGGATCCGCGACTTAGACCGAGTGGGTATAGAATGGCCTTCCCCGGCGTAAACTGGCGGATTATTATGAGTGGGTGTATACCTGGAGTGACAGCCGAGTTGTCAACGATGACAGTGCCGTTTGCGATTGTTTCCTCGGTGCGAAGATGCACAGATTGTGTTAACTTGAATGAGCGACGTAAAAGTGCGCCTTACACTTCCCTTGACGATAGTAGTACATCGGGTCTGTTCATACATCTCCGAACTTGTTTTCACTGAGTCCGGGTGGTGACTGACCTACTTCTTGTTGAAGATACATTTTCAGTTGTGATTTTGTTTTTAATATGTCAGGTCAGTGTCTCATGACAGGGATGTGTATGACTCTCTTCATAGAAACACCTTGCTTAAAAGACACACTTTTTCATAGTGACAATGAAAGCTTACGTATACTTAAAACCGTTGATAAAACATACTTCATGAAAAAAAATGAACAGGCTCGTCGCTTAGGTTTTCTCGCGCCAATATTCACAAAACAATACAAGTCCACTTAAAGTTGGGACAGAGCACACTACCACCACACCTCTTGAGAGTGTAAGCCCCTATGTAGCCCTCACTCGCTCCGAAATATTTGGCCACGTTCGTATAATACACAATAGTTGGAAATCGGAACTCAAGTCACTTTTGCACTGTTCTTGCTGTCTGTGGTGTTTGTTGCTTTTTTGAAGCAGCTGCTATTGTCCTTCTGTTAATATTGTTGCAGGTTTGCTTGGAAATCGACCATTTTCTGCCTGCAATTGCTAGCCTAGGGTGATATGTCACAGTTGTTGATGTAATCGTTTGTACGTTTACACTGTTATCAAAAGTTGCTGCTATATACAGAAAGTGTCGCATGCAAATGGTGCTACCTGCTGCGTGTTTTGGATTTCCTTCTTCTTTTCAATCGTCCTCCCGTTGACAACTTTTATGTTGTGCGTTTAGTAATGGGCACTCAAGGATCTGCAATGCTGGTTTACGGCTGCGTGACGGACCTGCATGACAGGTTATGTGCGTTACTTGAAAACTTTTTTTTTTTCGATTCGAGGCCTCTCAACAGTAACAATTAGCAGATGCAGAGGAGGTTTCAGTTTCTTTGCTGACTGGAAATATGATTAAGAATTAGATTAAATTACGTAAATGACGTAGTCCAGGCATTGTCACAGTTCAGTGTCTGCCCATTCTCTAATAGTTCCCCGGCAGAGCTGGATAACTTGTTTACATATTCCGCAAGCTCAAGTTGAAGAGTGGTAAGAACTATTTCAGTGGCAGGGCTTATCACTTGGCCTCAACCTGCTTATCTAAACTTAGGCCTGCAGTCATAGACAACGTGCGGGCCTACGCATACACATGATAAATAACTTTGAGATGGATGAGTATACTTCAGATATTTTTACCTGATATAAAGTTGCGCCAAAAGGGTCCAATCCAATTCCACCGGGACGTTGGTTCAATCTGTGACTGTTACTATTCGATGAAAATCAGAGGACACAAACAAAGAGGAAGAAAAATCATAAAGAGCGAAAGCAGCCAGGAACGTGTACCTTTTCTCACCTTGTTTCACCAGGAATACGTTTTTATAATACATAACAAAATGTTTCACACAAGCTACGTGTAGTTTCATTACATTGACATTTGACTCTTGAAGAAAAAATCTTTAAAAAATTTATACGAAATATTCGCCATCTCACTTTTAAAGTGCAGAGCCCTACAAAGATTTGCCACATACATTATTCGGTAGAAAACAAAGTCTGTATCAGGAGCAGCAAACGTTACAAACACAGCTTTTGTCTTGGATATGGTGGCATGATTCCAATTTTTCAGTAGCCGTGCACACCATTAGCGTCCACTACACTTTTTTTCACAGCAGTGTATCGCAATGAGTCCATTCATGTCTGCACTCTGCCTGCACAAAATGCACTCAATAAGTGAACAGACGTGAAAAATAACAATCATTTGTCATGTATGGGAAGACATCTCCTTGTGGAACAACGGCACAGCAAGGATGCCGACAAAACGAAATGCCGTGAACATTGCACGCTCATTATAAGCCATTGTGGCACCGCTTTGATGAAAATCTCATCTTGGAACAGCCCGTTGCCGTGGAAACGTGCAATACCCAGTAGCAAGCTCTGTTGGCAAGATGGAAATTGACTTAGCATCGGTCCACAAAAAGAGCAGAAAACGACGATAATACGCCGGGGGTGGCTGTGTTTTTGTTAGAGCTGACAGGGTTAGTTCGTCTCAGCAGTGACTTAATTAACATGCGGACAGAGACAACTCCCTCAATGCAATCTCTATGATAATTACAGGATACAGATCTCAGAGTCAGGCAGCAGCAACTTGGAAATACCGCATCTTGTCTATTTTGGGGGACTGAAAAAGGATATTTAAATTTTCATCGCAAAATCAATAATTCCAACGTTGCTTCTAACATCAAAGAAACTGCTGATTCTGAACATATTTGTACTTTGAAGCCGGTTCTTCATCTCCTAAAAAACCAAGAAAAATCTGAAAGGGGTGCGACTACGATGATTTCAGTAGGTACACCTTGTGTCTGCAAGTTGTTTGTCTTGTATGCCAAGCCCCTCGATCTTGGGTGGCATTATGCAGAACCACACACAAACGGTAAGGGGGGGGGTGTTGTGGTGATTGATTGCTCCCCGCCGCTAGAGGGCCACGCGGGGCATACGAATGTGATTGACACGCACGCGCGCTCGTGCGCTAAATGGTTAGCAGACGATTTTTTCACAAACTACCTGTGCTGTGGACGTACGTACATGTTGGATAGGACACAGCACGCTGAGTGTAACACTTAGGCTCGCATTGTTGTCAAAAAGAGACCGCAATTTGTGAGATTTCTCCGGCTGACTCCGTCCATAGTTTTGTACCAATGCAATCTTCTGTATTTCTGTGATCATCTTTTTTGTAGCTGTCGTTGATCCATGACGGAGAGGAAGCAATCGGAATTTAGCGGTGCCTTTGCTTGGAGAAGTCGGGCATTGTTTGGTAAGTTCGTTTAATGCTGATTGTGAGTGATCACTCATTGGCAAACATTGTCAATCAGGCCAGCAGGTTACTAGCTGTGTTGTGTACAGTGTAGGCAGTGATTTGTAAAGCATGGAGATGTTTTATTCATAGTGGCAACTAGCAGCTTGTCCTATAATTGTGAGTTTTTATTTTTAAAAGGAACTTAATTTTTCAAATAAATCTTTTAAAGATTTATTCCATAATTTCCTATGGTCAACAGATGTTATTTTTCTGCAGTAACTAAAAATAGGCAGGGGATATGTTCAGGCTTTTTGCCTGTTCCTGTTTTTGAAGTGGGGAAGTTATGAGTAACACTTTAATTTATTTGTTTTGATTCTGTTGCACTCTTCAAAACAAAGAAATAGCCTAATGATGAAAACATTCCATACCAGGGTGTGCATGCCACTTTGACACCCTGTGCTTAAAGTCTGTGAGACTCACTGGTCTGAAGAAAGTGTTTTCTAAGTGAATACCACAATGTTTTCACTGGTAAATTTGACAGTTAGGACTTGTTTAACCTTTCAGACTACTTATAGATTATAACAATGCAGGGGAAAATGAGTGATGACTGTTTGGAGGAAGGAATGGTGTTGGTAGGATATATGGACTTCTTTCCAAAATGATTTGCTGAAGCGGGGATGCTTTGAGACTACATGGTAGCCTGCTTGAATGCCTGTGTATAAAGGTTGCAGAGCAAATCGTGATGTTGTTGAGCAGAAAAAAAATCAGTGTGGATTTTTTACTGTTTAAAATTCATATCTTGGCCCTATATTTAAAAAGTACAAAATTGGAATTTAAATAAAAGAGTTTGTGTAGCATGTGGAAAAGGACAAAACTTAATCACAGTTTCTTTTTAAGAAAAATGAATAGCTCCCTCGGTCATTGTGCATGCGGCTATATTTGGTTGATTAGGTTTCCAATTGTTACAATTTTTTACTATTTTGTTAAATTTCCCTGGGGTCACGACTTTGTACACTGGTGTTGAAAGGCATACATGTACATGTCTTGTACCTTAGCCAACTCCTGCCTTTAGAGTACATATCTCTAGTGTGTCTACCATCTTGAATTAAAAGTGAGTTGAAAGTTGCATAAATTGGGAGCCTGAAGGTAAAAGTAATAAAGAAAAATTAAAGTTCATCTAAAATTCATGCCAGTTTGCATTTAAGCAAATTTAAAATTGGTGATAAATTATATTTAAATGTTTTAAGTTGCCTTTAAAAAACAACTAAAGCAAGGCTTTGAACCCCAAGTAGTCTGGCACCACCCATTTAATGGCTGTGAAGACTCACCAACATCCTCAGAGTATATTCTGTAACAAGATTTAAAACTTTGTACGCTGCTCCAAATCATGCGGTTCTTTGTCAACCTTTGGTACGATGACTGGCCGTCACAGAGATTCTATCCAAGAGACACTAGCAGTGGAATATTGTACACATCCTTGAACCTGTCCGTTTTTCATCATATTCATTCATTTCCTCCCCTCTCTCTGTAAAAATAAACAGAAAGGAGGAAGATCCAATGATGTTTTGCCCAGTCAGTCCTGTGGACTGCCTGTGCATTTTTTCGTCACTGTTCCTCTCACAAAGTCATTTTCTTAGTTCCCAAATGTGCTTTTCATTCATGCAGTTGACATTGTAACACTCAAAAAATACAAAATATTCAATTTGACCTCATTACCATAAAAGTGTAGGTTTCATTCCTTACACTCTTTGGACTAAAATTATTTGATTGCACTTGTTTTGTAGTTCAGTCAATAATATTTTGGTCAGTCTTGTTACAAAGGAATGCCAAAATGTGTTTCTTCCATGCTTTTACTTGACAACGCTGTTCTAAAAAAAAGTGGCCTCCTGTGTACAAGTATTTTCTCTTTAGATTAGCTTGTTCTCATGTCACATTCACATATACCATTTTTCCCCATTTGTACAAATTATTCAAGGCACATTTTAGAAAGGAAAATGTTACTGACCATCAATTAACAGTTGTGAACTGAGCTGCAAAGTTTGTGTTATTTTAAAAGCGGTATGGTAATAGCTGTGGCCTACTAGAAGTACCTGCCTCTGTTATCCATCCTTTTCGCTCTGCATTCGGTACATCCTCTTCACTTGAGCAAATAGATCCATGAGATCAAAATCCAAGAGTAGTTATTTGAGGAGCTGTTCAATAATTATGATAATACATTACTGTACCGGTACCTGTACAAAGGGATAAATTGAATCTCAGTTGTGGTAGGCTTTAATATATTCTTTGAAGGTCAAGGTGACTTCAGATCATTGGAAGACAAAATGGTATATCCATGAGGCCCTTTTTATCTGTTTTGTTGGTTGATGCATGTAAATGAACAATTGATTTACATCAATTTTGTGCCATTTAACACTCAAGATGAATACCCCTGAGTGATGACGTTGTCATCAAACAAAGAATGCAACTGGCATTTTAGCTTAGATCTGTTGACCCAACATGGTTCGTCAGGCCAGTATGTTTCTCCTGGGTTTTCTCCGTCTGAAAGTGTCTCCTTAATGTGGAACTGATGCTTTCTGGTACAATACTACATGTAGATGTGATTGCCAGCCAGTCTATCACATTCTCCTTGAGCAGATTATATCAGTTGAGAGGCAAGTGTACAATGTCAGGCATGCAACATAAGACTGGGAGATGGGTTCAAACCCCTGAATTTCTGATCATTAGTTGTAAACCCTAACCACTGGGCAAAACGATCACCACTAATATCATTGGCTGAGTTCGGGCGGCTTGTTCTTGTATGTTCAAGAACAGCTCGATTTGTTGTTCGTTAGTCGGCCGCTCAAATGCCGGGAACGCACAACTGGTTGTTCCATGGAACATGGCGGCATCCATGTACGTTCTTTCAGAGTAAACTTGGAAAGCTGGGCTGAATTCTTTTCTATTTAAAAAGGAACATTTATTTCTTTGCTATGGAAAATGAAAATTGTTAATTTTGTAAAACTTTTCATTGTCTCTGGCTTTGTGAGCCATCTCGCTATCTTTTGCGAATGTTCAAAAATCAAAATCTCACGAGTTTTTCCGTGTGTTCCTGTAAAACCCTGATGAGGAGGTGGTGTGTGATCCTGTTCTGAGAACAGTGTTCTTGGGTTGTGTTCCTGCCGCTCGAGCGCAAGAACAAGAAACCCGTGTTAAGAACAGGCCGCCCGAACTTGACCATTGTGAGACAAAGTGTGCCAAAATAAGGTTTTCCATAGTTGTACACTGAATATTGAATGGTACCAGTACTGTCCATCATGTTTCATTTGTGCATCATGTTCATTTGAGGTAACGGATGTCCTAGGATCTTAATTTAAAATGAAAAAAATTGCAGAGTTGTGTTTTGAGTTGCACCCAAATTCAGTGTCTGGGACACACTCTTTAAGCTAATTGTTGTTTATGTGATGTTACGCACTAAACTGACAAATTACGGTATAGCAGCACTCACAAGCACTTTGCTGAATTAAGAACAAGCTACTAACAGCAACATCCAAAAGCATTTCTTTAGACACATCATTGAAAAATGTATGGTGTTCTTCCATTGCTTTCTTCAAAATGGCAGCTTGCCTGAAAGAGTTATTCCCAATGTGTTTGAATTCATTGGACCAGAATAATGTTTTCTAAAAAGTTCTAATATTTTTGTGTAATACTCCTCCAGTGTCTTTCATGGTCACTAGTGCCTTTAACCACCTCCACCACCGTCAGCACTACTGAAGCCCCTAACTGCCCATTATGAGTGGCTCCGGAAAAAGCTTGAGTGCCTCACTGTCCCTGGAGGACCTGAACCTAGAGCCGAGCCCGCCCCATAAGCGCAGCACCCAAGCTTCCACAAGCTCCTACCACTCCAGCCCCGGTGGGTCCACCTCCCGCCAGCATGCCTCTGCCACCCCCACCCCTGCCATTGCCACCCGGACCATGTACAGGGACGATCTCCAGCCTGCCAACAACACCATTCCCCGGACCAAGAAATCGGCTCGGGCGTCGGCATCTGAAGGGAGTCCGGGAAGGAGCAGAGGCACGCTAAGGAAGACTGTGTCCTCCCCCATCGGGCCGTACCATGGGAATGATGTGGTTGGGGCTCGCCTGGCCAACTCCTGTGGTTTGGAGCTGCAGAAATACAGTCACTTTGTAACTGATGTCAAGGAGGCAGAGTCAGGTAAGAAGTTGAAATTTACAGAATTGTTAGCTTTATTTATTGAATGGAAACCTACACTCCTACCCAGAAGGACATGTGTGTACCGTACAGGTACCCTCACTCCTTTCCCATTTCTTTGAGTTGCAGAATGCAATTTTAGAATTTCTTTCATTTTGTAATCAGGTTTCTATTTCCCCTGAAACATTTAAAAGTATAAATTCCAAGTTTATTCAGGTGCTGAAGTTCAGAGCTGTACATTTTTGTACAGTTGAGTACATTTGAGTATAAAAAACAAAGTAGCTGAATGCAAGTGATGTATGCACTAGAACATGTAGATGTGTAAGTTCTTCCTCTTTATCCTGTTTCCCAAAATAACAGGTTGATGGACTGATCCCGTAGATTTCGTTTCCAAGGCTTTCCCCTAAAAATGATCACAGAGGCACTCTAAACCTTTTCCAACTTTCATGTATAGAATTCGCTTTTGCCACTTGAAGATTAGTGATGAATTTAAAAGAACCCTGGTTTAATTTGAAGTGCATTACCATCAATATGCTGTGGCAGTTTGTTCATATACATGTATGTGATATATGGGTGGTCAGCAAACGGTGCAAGCGTGAGTGACTACCTGAAAACAATCTTGCGTTAAAAAAAAAGTTCTTTCTGAAAATCTAAAAAAAAATCGATGGCTTACTTAGTTAGCACCACTTACTTTCAGATGAGAGAGCAGGGGCAAATTCCTACGTACACGAGGAGGCATCAAGATTTACTTAGACATTGATTAGTGGGCAAAGATGCACCTGTAGGTTGTTGGGCAAATCAGTGGTTCCTCCTACACTATCCAAACCCGATAAAATATCCACATTGCCCAAGGGGGTGAGTAAATGCATAGACTTGGCTGTTTCATTGCTGGCAATTCAGTTTTCTCTTCTTTTTTTTTTTCTGGTTGCTTCCCTGCATGCTGTTGCATGCTTGAGTAGACCGTAGAAATCCGTCGTTCATTCATCCGTTCTCGCTGCGTATTGATCCATGGTTCAGCGTTCAAACACGCGGTCGCTGCGTACCGGCAGATCGAGTTGAGTAAGGCTGCGCGTGCTCGCCTGTTTGGTAATATGCACAGAGCGTCTGTCATCGGTGCCTCATACGTGCACCTGTATTTTTCCTACACAACCTCACTTATAAGGTCTCAATTATTGATTGCTGTAATTTCACCCTTATCGTTCACCACCTGACTTTTTGTCATAGGTGCCCGCCATGAATGTTTGATATGTAGTGGAGCTATCAACGTGTCGTGAAAATACCTGAACTTTAATGAGTTTTCAATTTGTTTTGTGTTAAAGAGCACCTCTAAGGAAAACATGTTTTCTCTGATTTCATCTGTTCAAATAAATTTGGAAACTTGAAGACAAATGACACTGCATTTGATTTATGTGCTTCCATATTTATTTGAACAGATGAAATCAGAGAAAGCATGTTTTCCTTAGAGGTGCTCTTTATATTAAATGATATGAACATAGTTACATACATGTAAGATTTGTGATTACAGATGAAGAGCTACATGTACACATACAGTGTAGATAATCTGGAGACATTTTTCATGGGGCCCTCAAAATGTGAGCTGGTCTTAACAATTTGCTCCTTTGGCAGGAATGTGAATATCTGTGAAATCTTATGCAGCAATAATGGGTATGGTTAATCAACTCTACACTAAAAACCATGCTTCCTGTGAGAATCCAGATGCAGCCTTCTTAAAAAAATATATGTAAACAAGAGAAAATGATGAAAAGCAGTGTGGGACTTGTTTACAGTGCAGGGATGCCATGCGTGTGAGGCAGTCTTGACCACAAACACACTGTTTTTCACCCAATGTCGGAAATAAATTAACATTTGGGAGGCATTATGGCAGAGGGGCATCTCTTGAGGAACCGATGAAGGATGAACTGTTGTACGTTTGCAGGCATTTAGAATTGTCAGCCTGGTAATGAGGTTTCGTTCAAGATGTCTCGTGTTGGAACATTAAGTTACTCGGCAGCGGTATCTCCAAGATGCTTGCTTGTCCGTTTGTTGTAGAGAAGGGGTTTGTCTGCCCAAGTGGTGTAGGCACGTGCAGTTTGGGTGCTCCTTTAAATCATTACATGGTGAAATACCCGGTACTACAGTAATTACATGTACATGTAAGGCCCAATGTTTTACCAGTAGTTTCATCTACTCGAACTTAGTTATTCTCAGTGGAAAATGAAATTCAGTCTAAAACATTTCAGAGTGCTTTACCTCGTCTAAATTTGAATGTTAGCCAGTTACCTGTAGTAGGGCATGTCTAAATTAGAAAGCCATTTTGACAGTACATGTATGTTGGATGAGTATGCACATAACCTGTAACATACAGTTGTATCGTTGCACAGATTTGTGGAAGTGAATGAGCAATCTGTTTAAGTCATTTATTCCACCAGGAGCCCACTCCTCAAAATACTAAGATACAAAATACATGTAATAACCTGCACTTACAATGTGATGTACATGTACATGTTTTGAGCATTACTGTCACAGATCTATGCTGTGCTTGACGTGTGACTTGGACAATGAGAGGCTTCATCGTCCCCTGAAAGAAAAGGATATGTGCGGCAGTAAATGTACATGCCTTTTGTTTGTTGAAACACAGTATAAGTGATTTAAGAATCCACTTGTGACGACACTCTGGGCATCGTACAAGATGTACTCAGTGGTTAATGGCGTTGGTCACAGAAGCAAAATGCCATTCAGTAAGTCTTCAGTTATGAGTGGAGTAGCGAAACGGGGTCAAAAAGGAATCGATCCCTTGGAAATAAATGTAGGGAAGAGTGAAAATGAATGGACATGTGCGGCCTCAGTCACAGCTGCCGAGCGCGCAGTGTAAACATGGTAAATGGCGTCTTGGACTTTTTTTTTCCATTTTCAGGCCAAATTTACATGCTGAAGGGATTCACAGTGGGGAAAACGAACACCAGGTCCTCATATGTACCGTACAGTTTGATGAATATTTACAATGAATGGCAGTACTTATTTTTATTATTAGTTCAAGTATTCACAGCTGGTGCAGAAGGACCCCGGGCATTTTGTATTGCGCACGACTGCTTCCGTTGAGCTCTCCAGCATATCGGGCATGAATTCCTCAAAGAAAATCCTTTGAAATCAACCTGTCACAAATTGCAGTGATGGAAATTCCAACCCAAATGCTAACTTTGTAGTTCTCTTGATTGCAGCTCAGAAAAGAATTTGATTTTGGTCTAAAAAGGAACGAAATGGTTCAATTTTGCTGTAGATTGTCATGGTAATTACAAATGGGCCCCATAATTTTTAGTCAGACAAATGTAGTTTGCAATATGTTAAAGCTATTGATCTGCTTTTTTACAATTTCATCTCCCACATTTTTGGGCATATGGTGAAGTTCATAGGGCATCATTTTGTTGATTTTTGGCAAGAAAAATTAGTGGGCAGAATTTGTCTTTCGACCAAAGTACAGATTTTTAAATTAATGACAGCAGTCAGAAAAATCCACAAGTTCTTTGTGATGTTGAAAATTTTGCAACAATATACTTCACAGAGACTGTCACAACTTTACCAAGTTACTCTTTCAAGGAAATTCAGGAAATTGAATGTGAAAGGTGAAGATTGTCTTTCTAAAGACAATGGTGTAGCCTACACTGATACAATGTGGTTTTGCCGCTGGTCGGTTAGCAACTGGCAGAAATTTGAGTTGGCAAATATTTGAGTGTCTTAGAGCACTTCACAATCCTACAATCTTGTAATGTGAAGACAGCTGATATACATCAAGCCACTTTTATGACGGTCCCTTATACGTTTTGCTTGTATGGATGTTGCTTTGGTTGTCTACCCAATTCATCCTCTTAGCAGATTGAATTGTATGAGATACTGCATATCACTCCCATTGATCAGGAGAAGATGAGCGTGTAACTAATACTAGGCAGGAGTACAGCCTGTAGACACAGGCTTCATAAAAGGAGGGATGTCCCCACTCAATTGCCCATTGCTCAGTTGCAGGTTATTAGTGGAACATTTTTCCCCCTCGTGGGTTTAATCCCTTCCTCGCGTTTTTCGATTTTTGTCTTGGGCCGGGAGTATGTGAGTCATGAGGTCTGTTAAACAAATGAAGCAATGTTTGAAGTCTGGAATGGGGAATTTAGTGGATTGATTGAGGGAAAACTTAATGAATTGGTGACTGATCTGTGGAAAAATAAATAACTGGTGCTGCTCACTTCAAATTAATATAAATCTGAACTAAATCAGAGCAGCTTTGGTTGATATGTGCGTGACTATTTTTTCTACAGTACAGGAGTTTTGGAGGGCAAGCAGGATGACCTGCTGAACTGGAGCCTTACCCTCCCGTCAGAAAGTTTGTCACCTTGCAATTAGTTCACAGATCCTGTGCCTTCCTTCCCCTTCAGCACTCATGGCTTTTTACCTGTGCCTCGTTGGTAAATTGATGTTACAAAGAGAACAGCATTCATTGTACATGTACGTGAATGTGTACGTGTACATGGCTGTGTACATGTCTGCATTTAGAATATGAACATCCTTGTTCCCTTCTTCTCCCCTTCATATCCCTACCAGAGAAAAAATTTCATCTGAAATGGCTGTTATCGTGTTCAAATTTGGTACCCGTACTTTGAGTTCTTGACAGGTCTATTATTAACGCTACACTGCTACGCTACACTAGGCCTACATGTAACTAGTTCAGGCAGTATAATGCTTATCATTGCGGAGAATCTCTTTCACTCGTTGGTCAATAGCATGCCCTTTGCTGACACAATGCTAATGTCCTTGAGGATAACTCTCCAGATTATTATGCACAGGGGAAGATCCTGGAGGATCCCAAATGAAAACCGACCTGCCAGATCAAATTACGACAAATTTGCTCTGATTTTTCATCTCGACGACCGCCCCGTCAGGTCACAAGTACCCACTGATTGTCCATGTACCCCCCTCCTTTTCCTTCACTCACTCTCTCTCTCTCTCTCTCTCTCTCT